AGGGGGGAGGGGGAGGAGGGGGAGGGGATATGTAGGGGATAAAATTCAACTTGTGAAGTGTTTTATTAGATACTTACATATAAAACAATCATTTTTTAGGAAAAAGTGCTTAAGAAGTCTTCTCTCTCTCTTTTATTAATTTCTAAAATTTTTATTTAATTAATTACAAAGTTAGGTATTCTCCAATCAACAACCAACACTTGACAAATATAACTACAATTTTGTTTAAAAGAAATTCAGTTTCAATCCCCCATAAACTTTAATAATTCTTGAACTAGCCATGCTGTGTTGTGTGATAGGAAAAGAGAAAGGCTAAAAAGGTGGGAAGGAACGAGTTGGAGCAAGAGGGGTTATAAATTCTGTGCACGGGGCGCCCGCTAGTGTTCAATTATGCAGGACTGGATTCCATGGTATTGAAGACGAAAAACGCTCATATTAAGGTGCAATGGGGAAGATCTTGCAGAGAGTAAGGAGACAACGCAACATCACCNTAGGAAAAGAGAAAGGCTAAAAAGGTGGGAAGGAACGAGTTGGAGCAAGAGGGGTTATAAATTCCGTGCACGGGGCGCCCGCTAGTGTTTAATTATGCAGGACTGGATTCCATGGTATTGAAGACGAAAAACGCTCATATTAAGGTGCAATGGGGAAAATCTTGCAGAGAGTAAGGAGACAACGCAACATCACCGGAGGAGTTCCACTCAGAATCTTACAAAAGACCCACATTTAGTTGAGGTCTTTTGGCTAAGAGTGGAAGATACCTTGAATTTTCATGGATTTAACGAAATGTGAGGGAGTTAGAGATCATCCACAACTTGAGATTTAAACCTGCTGGTGCACGCCCCCCACCAAAAACTTAAGGAAAATCAAAATCCAAAGAAAGTAGGAAAGAACAAAGAAAAACAAAAGTATCAGGTCAGTTGATTTATTTGCAAATTAGGCATTTAACGCCTTTGATTTGGTATCTTAACTCTTAAAACAGTTAGGTTTCCCATCACAACTTCAACAGATGTTATATTTAAACATCCCGTGTATTGCAGAAGTCAAGGACAACGCTTAGAAAATCGTCAAGCTTGTCAAAGCTGATGAAGATCGGANAGGCATTTAACGCCTTTGATTTGGTATCTTAACTCTTAAAACAGTTAGGTTTCCCATTACAACTTCAACAGACGTTATAAACGCTTAGAAAATCATCAAGCTTGTCAAAGCTGATGAAGATCGGAATAGAATAGGACACTCAGAGAAAGAATCGTTAGCTGATTTAATTGAGGATTCCCACAACCATTATACCAATTGCTGTATTATCCCTATGATCATTTCCTAGGCGAGCTGAGGAAAGAAGTTAATGGCAAACAAGGAAAGGAGGCTTCATCCTCCAGCTCAGAATTGTTTCCGGATACAGATTATTCTCCGAGATAAAAGAACAGTCAAAATGGAATACTGGAAAATGAGTTTCAGAAGGTGACAGATGGTATTCATCATCCAAGTAGGGATCTGATGGCATGGGTCAACAATCTGCAATTTGAGGTGGAGTCTTTTCGCAGTCAGAAAGGTGAACTGGAAGAACAAGTAATACATACAAATAATAGGCAACAGGAACTGGAGATTCTACTCAAGCAGAAAACTGATTCAGAAGCATGTCTGGAGAAAAAAGATCATGAAAATCCACAATGTTTGATTTCAATAGAGGAGGGTTTTACGGTAGGTGAAGGATTGGCAAGTGGAGTTGAAGACTCTATTCAACCTGAAATGTGAACTGGAGGAGCACCTAAGACGTAAAGGACATGAGATTGTTCAGGTGCAAGAGTAACAAAGAAGCTGCAAGATAAATATTGAGATTGGAGAGAACAACAGAGACTTGGAATGAACTCTCCAATGTAAGTAAGAAATGTGTAGATGGACAGAACGAAGGACCTGACAGAGTAACGGCCTTGATAAACCAACAATCTGCATGAATAGTTGTGTGCAAAGAATGCTAAGTCAGAATTACAACTTGGGAGTATCTAATTCGGATTGAAAATCTAGAAACTGTGGATGAACAGAGAAACACTGAAAAAGAAAGAAATTGTAAGAGTTCAATTGAAGGGTCGGGAACCGGAATTAAAACTCTCAATGCAATCAGAAAAGTGAATTGGAAGGCCAAATGAGAAAAAAGAGCCACGAGATTGATCGATCAAGGGAGGACAAGCAGGATCTGCAGGGATCTTTGGATCGGACAGTTGATAAATTGGAAGAAACTGTTGAAGCCGTAAGAGGAGATCTGGAAATTAAAGATGATGAAATCAGTACTCTGGTAGAGATCGTCCGCACGATTGAAGATAGCAGAGGAACAAAGAGGTCAAGCTCTGGAAACAACAGAAGTTCCTTTTAAGAAAGAATTTAAGATACATGCCAAATGACTCAAAACCGTCAAAGATTGCTTTATTTTCCCCTTCTCATATTTCTCTCCTTTTGACACTCATGCCTCAGCAAGCATTTGTTGCCAACAATTGAAGGCAAAAAATTGTTAACATCAAGCAGAGATTCGAGTAAGCCTATGTAACATCTAATCGACCCAATAAGCTGTTGAATCTCCAATACAGTTATATACTACAATCATGGTAGATACAAGATACTACAACTAAGGCTTCAGTTCTAATATCTATTGACCCTGATTTAGCCGAACTAATGCACCCAGATCCTGGGCAGGCCATACCTAGCGTATATCTAAAAGGTCTCCGAACTCCAAATTCAATGCCTTANGATACAAGATACTACAACTAAGGCTTCAGTTCTAATATCTATTGACCCTGATTTAGCGGAACTAATGCACCCAGATCCTGGGCAGGCCATACCTAGCGTATATCTAAAAGGTCTCCGAACTCCAAATTCAATGCCTTTTGCTTAAGAGCAAACAGCAATAACAGCTTCCCTAACTTATAGTGCTTCTGACAGAAATAACTTAGCAGGTCTATGTACTGTTCATTATAGATCCCAAAAAATAATAAAGTTAACCCGCCACAGCAGTTATTCAACAGGGTAAGCTTATGCTTCGACACATGATTCACAACTGCAATCAAAATCATAAAACAAAACAAAATCCAACTGCAAAAGGGCATACAGTACTAAATACTTAGATCTCTAATACATAGCCAGTTACACAAATAACACTGAACAAATCATATGAAAATATTCTAGCAAGCTACTAGAAGGCCTCTAGTGCATCACTTGTCAACAAATACTTATTGGAAGTGCTGGTGCATATGAATGAGCAGAATGGCAAAACTAGAAGGGGGACATATGGGGTGGACTATATCAGCAAGTGCTAAGACAGGTCCCTAATTTCTTCATAAACTGAAAAAAAGAAAAGTACTTCCCCATAGTTTACCTCCTTCAATAAAAATCCAAGTCCAATAAATAAGCTGAACTTTCCATTGGTTTCAATCAGATATCCTCATCTCAACTCCAAGAATGTCTTTTACCACCTCATATGTCACAAATGCAATTGCTATCGATGGGACCACCTGAAGAGAGTAGAAATTGCAATAAAACATTTTCATGCCAAATAATGTTCATGTAATACAAGAAGACAGATTTAGTAGAAGGAAAACGTAAAAGATTTAAGATAAAAAAACGGATATCCATCCATTTTACCAACTAGAAGTCGAAAAATATAAAATACCAAAATAAAAGAAGGAATAAGAGATAAATTAAAATTAAAGCATTTAACGAAAAAAATCATTGCTGTTGATGTATTACGTGATAAAAGATGATCATACAACAATGCTAATACTAACCTTCACCGAATTGGGGACCAAACCCTTGTACAAAGCTCCGAATCCCTCATGGCGAACTGTTTTTCTGAATGCATCAATCATACCAGTATATTCGAGTGGGGCCTTGCTCTTCCCATCACCAGTAACAACTGAAGCAGCGTCTTTCCAGCCAACCATCTGCATTCTTCGACGGATGACATCAAGAGGGTAAGCAACTGTCTGGCCAACGGTTCCAGCAGCAGCCCCACATGCAAGCTTTGTTGTCACACTCAACTCCGAACCTTCATCTAGTCCAAAAGGTCTAGTTTTGATCAACCAATCTTTTAAAGATTCATATACAGCAAAGTTGAGACCCACATATGGAATCTACAAACACCATAATATATCTTTTAGGCATCTATCACACAGAAATGAGAGCAATGCTTCATTCTTCTATTATTATAATAAATCCAAAGCTTCAATGAACAGAACAAGGTGATACTTCCAAACATCAGTTTGTACAGGACTATTTCTTAAACAAAACCAATGCAATTACTTAGGACACCAATGAAAGTACATTGTTTGTACAACATCCTGCACACAATTGGTAGCACTTTATTTGACCACTTCTCAGTAACCCCAAGCTAGAGAAAACACATCATTGACTGAGAAACAACCAAGGACAGAACAGCCCATAAAACTGACTCAAAGGATAAGGCATAACCTCATTCAAAACAGTCAGAAACAGTATAAGAAATATTGTGCTGCTCCAAGTCAGATATTCGTCTTGTTCTCTCTTAAAGCATTACTTAATGCATCCAAACAGGAGTATATGCAATCATTGACAAACATGTTCCGCATTGTTAATTATCCTTACTCTGGTGATGTTTTATCTAATCAGAAATTTCCTCTTCCAGAGAAATTTTATGGGCACAATTAAAATAGAAAACAATTTCCATCATATTTGTGATTAATTGATCTCAGAAATATCACGCAACCAAAGAAAAAGCTTCCCAGACTTAACTGAGGAGACAATACTTTAACACAAATGAGCAATCCAATATAGTGATAACATCATTATTTTGAAGAATGGAACTCCAACTTACAACTCCTATGACAGATGGAAGCCATCCCTTGTATAAAGCACGAGGGCCTTCTTCACGGAAAACTGTTGTGAGAGCATGGAAAATTCCTCTATACTGGCGAGGGGAATTCTCTGTCTGCAAGGAGCAAAGAGTAGAAGTGAAACTATTTAATCCTTGACATGGCATAAATCCACCAGAAAATATAATTCAGAATTTCAGATATCCAAAAGGAAATTCTAAAGAGTACCTGTACAGTAAGCCGACCTCGTACCATGTCCATTGGGTAAGTTGCTGACATGGCAATGATTCCAGCACATGCTCCAGCTCCAAGGCGTAAAAGCGGAGTAAGTTCAGCATCCTCTGAAAGAAATAGCTATGGAAAATGACTCCATGTACGGAATAGAATCCACCAACAGTTATCTTAGAAGACAATATGCCAAGTAAATGTGAAGTTTGATGTGTTTATGGGCTCTATGCTTGGTCATGTATGTCTTGTAGCATATGTTATGTATCACATCCATCATCTCTTCTTTGACAAAAAAACAATGCAAAAAAGTGGGCGCTTGACATTTGCATGGAAATTCGTTGATCCATTTTGTTTTATGCGGGATTAGAAAAAACAAACTGCCTTTTAATAGCACTACAGGGCTGTGTTCTCCACAACTATTGTTTAGAAAAATGAAAGTTAAGCACATGCATTCTAAGAACACATCTAACATCAGAATCAAACAAGTAAGCAAGCAGCAATTCATCCCAACATCAGAATGATTCAAATAGCATATCGACATGCATGTAAATGTGAACACGCAACCCCCATAATATATTGCAAATCACATTTGATAATGAAAGAAATTACAGGATAAAAGGATCATGGTCTAGATATAAGTTAGAATAGTAGTGGAGTGCATGAGAAAAAGAAGGAAAAAAGACGGCCATACCTTTTCCAGGTTGCTGCCGGTATAGCCATAAGATTCTCCTGTACAGATGTCAAGTCAAGTGAGCCTCATTACAGATAAATGCAGAAGCTAATGCACAAGATTTCAAAAACTATAAAATGAATTTCACAAAAAGCATAATAGATATCAAGAACTATACATTAATGAGAGAATGCATGCATTGGCAACGTATAGAGGAGCTCGGTACTACATAAAAAAGCANTCTTGTTCTCTCTTAAAGCATTACTTAATGCATCCAAACAGGAGTATATGCAATCATAGACAAACATGTTCCGCATTGTTAATTATCCTTACTCTGGTGATGTTTTATCTAATCAGAAATTTCCTCTTCCAGAGAAATTTTATGGGCACAATTAAAATAGAAAACAATTTCCATCATATTTGTGATTNATAGCCATAAGATTCTCCTGTACAGATGTCAAGTCAAGTGAGCCTCATTACAGATAAATGCAGAAGCTAATGCACAAGATTTCAAAAACTATAAAATGAATTTCACAAAAAGAAGAATAGATATCAAGAACTATACATTAATGAGAGAATGCATGCATTGGCAACGTATAGAGGGGCTCGGTACTACATAAAAAAGCGNTCTTGTTCTCTCTTAAAGCATTACTTAATGCATCCAAACAGGAGTATATGCAATCATTGACAAACATGTTCCGCATTGTTAATTATCCTTACTCTGGTGATGTTTTATCTAATCAGAAATTTCCTATTCCAGAGAAATTTTATGGGCACAATTAAAATAGAAAACAATTTCCATCATATTTGTGATTAATTGATCTCAGAAATATCACGCAACCAAAGAAAAAGCTTCCCAGACTTAACTGAGGAGACAATACTTTAACACAAATGAGCAATCCAATATAGTGATAACATCATTATTTTGAAGAATGGAACTCCAACTTACAACTCCTATGACAGATGGAAGCCATCCCTTGTATAAAGCACGAGGGCCTTCTTCACGGAAAACTGTTGTGAGAGCATGGAAAATTCCTCTATACTGGCGAGGGGAATTCTCTGTCTGCAAGGAGCAAAGAGTAGAAGTGAAACTATTTAATCCTTGACATGGCATAAATCCACCAGAAAATCATATAATTCAGAATTTCAGATATCCAAAAGGAAATTCTAAAGAGTACCTGTACAGTAAGCCGACCTCGTACCATGTCCATTGGGTAAGTTGCTGACATGGCAATGATTCCAGCACATGCTCCAGCTCCAAGGCGTAAAAGCGGAGTAAGTTCAGCATCCTCTGAAAGAAATAGCTATGGAAAATGACTCCATGTACGGAATAGAATCCACCAACAGTTATCTTAGAAGACAATATGCCAAGTAATGTGAAGTTTGATGTGTTTATGGGCTCTATGCTTGGTCATGTATGTCTTGTAGCATATGTTATGTATCACATCCATCATCTCTTCTTTGACAAAAAAACAATGCAAAAAAGTGGGCGCTTGACATTTGCATGGAAATTCGTTGATCCATTTTGTTTTATGCGGGATTAGAAAAAACAAACTGCCTTTTAATAGCACTACAGGGCTGTGTTCTCCACAACTATTGTTTAGAAAAATGAAAGTTAAGCACATGCATTCTAAGAACACATCTAACATCAGAATCAAACAAGTAAGCAAGCAGCAATTCATCCCAACATCAGAATGATTCAAATAGCATATCGACATGCATGTAAATGTGAACACGCAACCCCCATAATATATTGCAAATCACATTTGATAATGAAAGAAATTACAGGATAAAAGGATCATGGTCTAGATATAAGTTAGAATAGTAGTGGAGTGCATGAGAAAAAGAAGGAAAAAAGACGGCCATACCTTTTCCAGGTTGCTGCCGGTATAGCCATAAGATTCTCCTGTACAGATGTCAAGTCAAGTGAGCCTCATTACAGATAAATGCAGAAGCTAATGCACAAGATTTCAAAAACTATAAAATGAATTTCACAAAAAGCATAATAGATATCAAGAACTATACATTAATGAGAGAATGCATGCATTGGCAACGTATAGAGGAGCTCGGTACTACATAAAAAAGCGCAATCATAACAATCCTGTCTAAAGCTTTATAACTGGAAATAGAACCAGAGCAATGGAGAAAGTAACAAAGTGGGAATTAACATGATCCTACATCCCAGCAATAATAAACCTGATAGGATACTTAAACCTGCAACTAAATTGCTATTGTGAAGAAAATACTCTTGCTATATAATAGACTTGGATAAGTGAGTAAATAGGTGTTTCAGGCATCCCCTGTGCAGATGTCAAGTCAAGTGAGCCTCATTATAGATAAATGCAGAAGTTAATGCACAAGATTTCTAAACTATAAAATGAATTCCACAAAAAGCAGAATAGATATCAAACATTATATATTAATGAAAGAATGCATGGCATTGGCAACGAATACAGGTGCTCGGTACTACATAAAAAAGTGCAATCATAACATTCCTGTCTAAAGCTTTATAACTGGAAATAGAACCAGGGGAAATGGAGAAAGCAAAAAATGGGAATTAACAAGTTCCTACTTAGATCTGCAACTAAACTGCCATTGTGAAGAAAATACTCTTGCTATATAATAGACTTGGACAAGTGAGCAAATAGATGTTTTGTACTTTGCCTTAAAATGTCTTCTGAGAATTTGTCAGAGTGATTGTACTCCTCTGTAGTTGACTGCAGTTTACAATAGATTAGTTCCAAGGTTTCACAAGTTTCAATAGGCAATGCCATGCATTTTCTTTTTCTTTCCTAGATTATTGGATGGTTATTTCGCTCTTATATTGTCCAGCACAGTCATATCTTTCACCACTATCTGAATTATTTTTGTTTCATTTGGTTTGTGGTTTAAGAACTGATAAGTGTTTCTCAAAACTCCAACACATGCTTTTTTAAACCAGATTTTCTCTCAGCCACATGCATCCCATCATTTTTCTTTTTCCTTCTTAGATTACAATATTATGTCCAATAAGTTTCACAAAAGTGTATTTGTGGCTCAGGAGCAGGCTCCTATATTTTAATACCAAAGTAACACAGAAATTTAAGAAAAAGAAAAACACTACTGGATCAAGAGAAGCACAGCATACTTGGATGCTTCCTCATAGCTAAAGAACTTGACAGCTGAGTTTGGGACAATGCGAGCGCAATTAGTGCCATTGCCTTTGAACAACCCTCGAAACCCCTCAGTTCTCCATATGTATTTCAATCCCTGAACTGTTCCACTGTATTTTATATTATGAGGATTCTGAACCTGCAATTTGAACACCCAAGCAAACACATGATGTTTTCCACCACCAACTGTGGAAAGGAAAATCGAACATGACCAACCACTAACCATGCGTACTGCACAGAGAAAAAAAACTCAAGCACCAAGCATTAGCTTAGAATTCTGGATGGAAAAAATCATGTATGTTTCTACTTCTTATAATGACCTACAAAAAGCGCAAAACAGTTTAATGCTACCATAAAAAACATGCAAAAGTCATAGCATCATGATCTCTCTATGGAGGGGTCAAATAACCGAAGCATTCAATAAATAATAGCATTTCATTAATGCATATCTATATGATGCTCCCAAAAAAAAAACTACATGCAAAAGATTTACCTGTAGCAAAATTTTCAACCGTTCTAATGGAGCCACAGCAGTTCGTGATCTGTAACATGAGGTACAGAAAATGAATTCAGAGTAACCAAACTACCGTCATAGACCAAAACTATGGATTGTAGCAACAGGTTAAGTTAAACAATGACAGACAGGTGCTCTGTTTAAAAAAGGTGCTTAAGAACGAAGTCTGGATTCGCAGGGGAAATTTTTTCCATTTTAGCTAGCCACATCGTCAACAGCTCCCTTAATTTTTCATTCAATCAATATCTCTCTCTCTCTCAAATTTGCTATTCATTAAAAAAAAAATGGAAGAATAAATCGAGATAGCAATAAATCAAAAGGTTTAATCAGAGAAAGTTAAGAACAATCCAGAGAATATATTAATGCGACATGAAATACATATCAAAAGAGAAAAAAATAGTAAGAACTGACACTCCACCGGCTACGCCTCCGGCGAAGAGAGATTTGCAGATGCTGAGTACGGCATGACTAGGAGCCTTGACTCCTTCACTAGCAATCTTTGCTTCTCCCGCCAGATTTACGATAGTAGACACCGCACTCTCGCTTCTCTTCCCTACCACATCCTCCGACGCCATTCAACAAAGTTCAAACCCTAACTAACTCGCCGGAGCCCAAACTATACCGATAAGAATTCGCCGTCGTCAGTTCGCCAGTCGATTCCGAGAGAGACAGAAGACACGGTAGGTCCTTTCCGCAAGAAATAAGCAAGCAAAAATGTTGAGTGCGGATACTGCTGCTGTATCACTGTATCTCTATATCTCTATAGCTTTTAAGCCTTCCACACTGTGTGTGTGTGTGTGAGGCGAGTAAAATGGAGATTAGTCGTTTGATGACTATTGTACGGTTGTCATGTTCCGGAGTGTTAATGATGTGCTTTTTCTATTAATGATGATTTANCAAAAAGCGCAAAACAGTTTAATGCTACCATAAAAAACATGCAAAAGTCATAGCATCGTGATCTCTCTATGGAGGGGTCAAATAACCGAAGCATTCAATAAATAATAGCATTTCATCCATGGAAATAATGCATATCTATATGATGCTCCCAAAAAAAAAACTACATGCAAAAGATTTACCTGTAGCAAAATTTTCAACCGTTCTAATGGAGCCACAGCAGTTCGTGATCTGTAACATGAGGTACAGAAAATGAATTCAGAGTAACCAAACTACCGTCATAGACCAAAACTATGGATTGTAGCAACAGGTTAAGTTAAACAATGACAGACAGGTGCTCTGTTTAAAAAAGGTGCTTAAGAACGAAGTCTGGATTCGCAGGGGAAATTTTTTCCATTTTAGCTAGCCACATCGTCAACAGCTCCCTTAATTTTTCATTCAATCAATATCTCTCTCTCTCTCAAATTTGCTATTCATTAAAAAAAAAATGGAAGAATAAATCGAGATAGCAATAAATCAAAAGGTTTAATCAGAGAAAGTTAAGAACAATCCAGAGAATATATTAATGCGACATGAAATACATATCAAAAGAGAAAAAAATAGTAAGAACTGACACTCCACCGGCTACGCCTCCGGCGAAGAGAGATTTGCAGATGCTGAGTACGGCATGACTAGGAGCCTTGACTCCTTCACTAGCAATCTTTGCTTCTCCCGCCAGATTTACGATAGTAGACACCGCACTCTCGCTTCTCTTCCCTACCACATCCTCCGACGCCATTCAACAAAGTTCAAACCCTAACTAACTCGCCGGAGCCCAAACTATACCGATAAGAATTCGCCGTCGTCAGTTCGCCAGTCGATTCCGAGAGAGACAGAAGACACGGTAGGTCCTTTCCGCAAGAAATAAGCAAGCAAAAATGTTGAGTGCGGATACTGCTGCTGTATCACTGTATCTCTATAGCTTTTAAGCCTTCCACACTGTGTGTGTGTGTGTGTGTGTGTGTGTGAGGCGAGTAAAATGGAGATTAGTCGTTTGATGACTATTGTACGGTTGTCATGTTCCGGAGCGTTAATGATGTGCTTTTTCTATTAATGATGATTTTGACCATAAAGATAAGGTTTGGAGTTTAGTCCTAAGTAAAGGAGGGGACTTACAAACTAGGGTTACCAAATCTTTTTGTGGGATGGGTCATGGCTTAATGACGAATTAAGGTCTAATCTAATGAAACTAAGTTGGATTTGGGTTAGAATTAGGGTTAATATTGTTAAGAAATTCCCACGAAATTTCAAACATGTGAGAAACAATAATAGAGAAAACACATGCCGAAAAAAAATAATCACACATATAAGATAATATTTACGTGGTTAAGCAATTCGCTTACCTCTACGAAATTGCAAAATTTCACTATTTTCAAAAACAATTACAGAGAGGGCGGCAGCCGTACAAAATCAATCAACCTCAATCATCCAAAAGAAACAGGTTTTATATGGCTTGCACCAGCCTACAAAACAAATAGGCCCCCAAAAAATTTACCTCAGTCTAAGCCTTCGCTTCATGGACTAAGCCTCATAAATTTTTTTATTAAAAATTACGCAATATTATTTTAGGACGGATCATCATCCGAATTAATCATAAACTAAAATCCACGAAAGTCCAACAAATATTGCTTTAATTAGTCAAACTAGTAATCATTAGTGATGAACTCTTTTGAACAACCTGAACTTCAATCCAAAGAGGACCCGTGACAAGATCTTTGGGTCGAGACATCTTTATTAATTATTTCTTGATCTTTTTTTAAAAAACTCAATTAAGAATGTCTTTTCACTATTATTGTTATCTATAGGATATAATCTCTTACCCTATTGCACCAATGACTGAGTTTACGTCTGCATGCATCAATTTTGGAAAGTGACCATGCAGGTCATGTAAATCCCAAAATCATAACATAATTTTTGGAAATGCATACATTTTAAATTGTTAGAGGCAAAATCATTATTCACCCCTTTGAATGTTGGCCAATATTTATTTTATCCCTTTGTTAGTTTTACGGGTGTACATTTTGATTGATACGTCTTGGGTGGCGAAATCCTTGAAAGGAAACTATAATTATAAATAGACTAAATTCAGATTTATTTTGAGATAACACTAGTTCGTAAGCTCAACATAAAAAACAAATTAACTTGGAATTTCTTTAGGTAATAATGAAATAGTTAGGATTGATCAATCTAACATGNTTGGGAGCTAAGGTTTGCAACAGGATGTGTATCAAGCACAATGAAATCAACAGGGAAGTAAAATTTATCAATTTGAACTAAGATATCCTCAACTATTCCCCTTGGTGTACGGATACTATGATCCGCCAATTGAAGTGTGATTGAGGTGGACTTCAACTCCTCTAGTTGCNATAAATACACGTCCTTCAATATACTTTGAAGGATATTTTCTTTTATTTTTGTTTCAGGGAATTCGAGCTAACTTATGGTTGTAGTGGGACAACCTCTGACTCTTATATCTAGTGACAACACTTCAAATTAAATATAGTAATATATAAGAATTAAAATTAATAAGAAGCTTGAAGATAAATATTATAATTGCGATAAGGCTTCATACAACAGTAAAATTATTCTATTTTAACTGGCTATTAAGGATTTGAGTCTCGAAAATAATTTATCTATAAACAGGAATAATGCTGCATAGTTTTGACCGACTCTAGTCGTCTCTCAGTGTCAAAAATCTCATGAATTGTGGTGATGCACAAATTAGTTGCACACCACTAGTCAAGTGAGTAGTATAAAATGCAATAAAATAAGTAGAGGAAGAAAAAGAACAAGGTTTATAGTGGTTCGATCAACAAGACCTACGTCCACTTTCAATGACTAAGTCCGTCGGGAATTTTATTAACTCCGATGTATTGGGAGAGTAGAGAATTACAAGAGAGAAAAGAGGAGCCTTGATTTTGTGAGATGCCCCTCAAGTGTTGGAGGAATTTACAATTTATAATCATCTGCGTAGTAATTGTATAGTTAGTCTGACGGTCATAGTTGGGGCCATTTAATAATAATTAAATCCCTTGACAACTTCTTCTCTCCTCGACCTTTCCTCTCCTCTCCTCAGCTGGCAAGGATGTGGGAGGTTGATTTTCTCCAAGCTATGAGGATGACCTCTCCTTTCCTCACCTGATGGTTTTTTGGCGGTGTAGTTCCCTGATGGGCTTGATTGAGCCTGGGTCTTATTGGGCCTGCTGGATCTTTATAGATTTGGACTATTGGAATCGGGTCATTAATTTAGATCGGGCTTATAATATGAGTTGGGCCTTCGGGCTTGACCCATCAAATTGGACCTTTTTTGTTTTTGGGTACTTTAGTAAAACTGCAAACTTGAATAGAAAGAAGAAAAGCCAAGATGTTCAGTGCAAGAGTCTGAAAAATACAGAAGAGTCAGTATTGATGGGTTCTTAAGGGTTTTGTTTTGGCAATTTCACAACTTCTGTATCTTATTTGCGTTCTTCATATTTCCTATATGCTTGACAGGTCACTCTCTTGGCATTGTTCTTTTGCCCGGACAGAAGAAGATGCATAACACTCCTGCTTTGATCACGCCTAAAGAGGAGTCATTTACAGATGACGTGTCACAATTTGAGGTTCCTCTTGCCGTTATCCATCCAGGTACACTTTGCCATGTTGTATTATGTGTGCGGTGATTTTTGCGGTGATTTTTGCACAATATATGAGATGGTAACAGATTTCATCCTTGGTGAACTCTTGTTCGTCGAGAAGGTGGTGGATCCCACAAGAAGGAATAAGTTGAAAGGGCAAAAAAGGGCCTAAAGAGTGGTGATGAATTGTTTTAGGGGTCGTCCGATCGATTTCAGCCGGTTGTTAGCTGTTCTTGACACATAAAAAATCAGTTAGAAGGGCGTCAGAGTATTTTTCAGCGTATCCCCTCCGACAATCAAATCAGTTTTTTGAGAGAGGAAAAGAAAAAAACATTATATATCTCTTAAGGAGTGATTTTGCGTACTTTTGAAATATGTTTTTGAGGACTATTTATATCCCCAGAGACCCATCATCACAAATGATCTAGTCAGCAGGTAGTGTCAAAATATGGGACAGTGTGTCTCTTATTTTGCATGAGTGATGTCTCAGTATTAATTGTTCGGGCTGCCGAGCCCTTAATGCAGAGGCATTAAATGCTCGGATCCTTGAGCATTTAATGCTTCTACTTCTCGACTTCTCAAGCCATTGCAGATGTCTCATCAACTGAGAACTCATTAAATGTTTACTTGTGATAGCTGCATACCGACTGGGGTACTTTTGCCTTTTTACCCACAACTCTGCACTCTATGCCACATGCCTAACTCCCCTTGGCTGAGTGTCTGACTCATCTGGCCATCTTGGTCTCATCATGCTGAGCATTCTCATGATTCTTAGTATAATTTGAGACTAGTCAACTGTCAATCAGTAGTCTTTTCACACATAGAAGACATGTGGCAAGACCAGAGCTTCGGCAAGTATTTCTGGAGTCCAGGGCACGTGTTGGCCTCGGGGTGAAGGTACCTTTGGAGCCGAGGGATACGTGATTGCCAAGAGGAAGAGAGGTGTCTTGGCGTTGAGGAACACGCCATTGTTAGAGCAGAGGCCTCGGTGTCGAGGACACGTGGCCTCGCCAGAGACAAGGATGTGCCTCGGTGTCGAGGATACGCGTCGTCAATCTAACCCTTTCCCATAAGTTTCCCATCAGATTATGATTTTGTTGTTAAGTGCGGATATTGCTGTAGACTGCAATTTTTTTTTTTTGGTCAGGAAAATTAAATTTCATTAAGACAAAACTCAAAATATAAAGCGGTACATAAACCCCAACATCATCCTACTCCTAATCTTGCTTCTTGCTTAATAAGACTTATCAAACAAGGGTTAATTATTTTTGATTTGTTAAAAAAAAAAAAAAACAAAGGGTTAATTACAAAAAACCCTTTAACTTTGAGAAGTTTGTCATTCACCCCTTCAGGATTTAATTTCAACAAATAGTCTCCTTAAAGTTTGAATTTTTTGCAATTAACTCCAACAGTTAATTTTGGATCATAAAAAATTATGTAAGTTAGACATGAAAAATCACATGATCTTTACTTTATTGAAAAGACACAATTATCCCTGAAATATATGTGTGTGCGTGTGTTGGAGGTGGAGGTGGAGGTGGAGGCAGTGGCAAAGGCGAAGGCGACTATGGTATTGTGCATAGTGTTGGTGTTAAACTGAACAAATGTATTTTTTTCTTGGATTTTCTATTTTCTTATTTTTTAGGGATAGAATTGGTAATATCAAGAAAAAAAAATGTAAACAATAATATACAAGATGAAAGGTGTAATGGAATTTTCATATCCTATCAACTAATTTAGTCAGCTCGAAACTTGGAGGAAATAAATTATAACATTTGAAAACACAATTAGTTGATTGTAACAAGAGGCAAAGTTGAGTGGGACAAAAGGAAAAAAGAGGGATATGCTACATATCTATACATGATGGTTCTTCAATTAATTGTAAGTGATTTGTCAAGAAAAAAATTAAAAAAATATGTATATTAGAGTAGATTTCACTCCTTTTACCTCATAACAAGCTTGTGGAATAATTGAAATAGTGGTTTGGTGATGACGTTAGTGGCGTGGTTGAGGTGGTGACAACCTTGGTGTGGTGGTGATTGGGATGATAGTGGGCATGGTGGTGGTGTGAGGGAAACATTAAATAAATTTATGTGATTTTTATTCTTATTAGAAAAATACATAATTAACAAAGAAGTTCAAAATAAAGAGGGCATATCATAATTAGTAATTTAATATTTTTAAGATTTTAAAATACTTTAATTCAATACAATAGTTAAATTATAGTAGACACCACATAATTTTATAGTTAACAATTTTTTTTTGTTACCCTTTAAATTTAGGGTAAAAAATATGGACGTTCCCTGACATTTTATAAACAACACAGAAACCCGCTGAAGCTTGAAATTTATTGAAAGGAGACCTTATCTGTCTCCCTTCTCAATGTTACTAATGAAAAGTGATGATTTCATCCCAATTTTTTTTTTATTATTTTCACAATTGCCATTCTTCAACTTTAGTACCAAAAATAATTAATAAAATCAATCAAAAATTAATTTAGTAACAAAAATTTTGATATAATTTAATAGAATTTTAATATTAATTTGATAACAATAAAAATTAATTTGACAAAGTTGAATATAAATTGGACAAAATTAAATGTTAATTTGATAAAATTATATATTAATTTACGTAAATAAAACCAATCGTTTACCCCCATTTTTTTTAAGAGAATCGCTCACCTCCATTTGATAAACTTAAAAACCTTCAGTTCACATGAAAATAAATTAAAAATTTGATAAAAAAATTTGAAAAATTGATAGTTTAAAAAATTTAGTATAAAAAAAATTGATAATATTGTCAAAAATATAATCTAAGGTCAATTTCGTATTAATTTGATCAATAAAAATTAATATTCAACACGAAATGAAATTTAGATTATAAAATAATATTTAATTTTATCAAATTAATATTCAACTTTGTTGAATTATTTTCAAATTATTTTTTTGTCAAATTAATATTAAAATTCATTTAATTAATTTTTTGGGATACTAAATTATATCAATTTTTGAGTACTAAATCAAATTCTATTTAATTTTATTAAAATTTTAATTTAATTTAAATATTTTTTTTGTATTAAATTTGAAGAAAAACAATTATAAAAATTATAATTTTGTTTGGATCAAATCATCACTTTCTATTAACAATATTGACGAAAAAGACACGGAAAAGTCTCTGTTCAATGAATTTCAAATTACAGGGGATCTCCGTATTATTTATTAAATATCAGGAGATGTCTATATAATATTATTAAAATTCAGGGGTTGTCCGGTTTTTTACCGTTAAATTTAATATCTACAATAATTTTTTATTATATTTTTTTTAACCACAACCGAATTGATTTAAGATTCAAATCTTAGCATTGTTTCCAAAAATCCACGAGTCTGTTGGGTGGGAGAAAAAGCCAGCAGTTAATGGCTGGTCGGCATGCCGCCTATTTGGACAATGTTGCCAAATGGCAACACCGCACCAAATAAGTCTCGTTAAAAATTAGATTCGATAAACTTAATTATTAAATTTATGCAATATTATTCATTTTTTAAAAATATTTTTATACTGAAAATTAATTTCAGTCGTAAATTTGATTTCAAGTTATTTATAACTATTATAACAATACTAATAAATATAATTTAAAAAATCACATGTCATTATTATCAAATAAAAAAATTTACAATTGTTTGGACCTAAAATGTGCAGATTTTGGAGCAACAATCATATAATTTTTTTTTATACCATAGTCCATAAAAAAATAATATTGTGATACTTTCAAATAATCAAGATTTATTTGGAGTTGTAGACTTTTACAGCCACGTTTGAATTCATAATCAAATGTGTCTTTATTTCAATTTTATGTGAGCCCTATACAGAGGATAAATTGATTCACTTGAAGATAAATTTGTGTCCAAAAAATCGATATCTCTATATCAAATAACAAATTCTTTTCTTCCCTTTTTTTTATTACATAATTTCAAATTAATTTCTACTCATTATTTAAAAAAATTGAAATTTTTTTCTCAAAATAAAGGACCTCAAAAAAAAATATCAATATGTGTATTCAGTCATAAATTAATAAAAAATTAAATAATTTTACTTGAACAAAAAAATATATTAGGATAAAATTCAAACTCCTAACTCCCTTATTATATATACATGATTGTTGATAGTTTATTTGTTTCAAATTTAGTATGCTAATTTGGAGACCTAAAATACTTTTATTGTTGGATTAGTTGTTGAATCCATTATATCTAATTAGAATAGTGTATTTAATCTTCAAATTAAGTTGAATTAGTATTTTTAACAGTGTTTTTGATAAGAGTGGGCCAGTGAGAGGGAGAAAGCTTTCCTTATCCCTTATTTTTAATATTATGTTTTATCAAATGTTGTCAATATAAGGTTAAAATTGTCATAGTGGGTCCCAAAAAATGCTGGGACCCATAGTAAAATCAATGGTTGAAATTATCAAATTTAATTTTTAAGTCCGTGTAGCATTGCTCTTCTTTAAAACGGAAACTGTCTCAATTGTCATATTACAATCTCAAAATAATAAATTTAATATCTATCGATGGGAAAAAATATAAAAATTTTGAGTAGAACCTTTAGCATAGCATAGTCTTCTTTCATCTTCAAATTCTCACACACCATAATCTTCAGATTGTATACTTGCCGCCTCGTTAATCTATCCCCAAGACGATACTGGTTGGAAGACAATAATTTTTTTTATATTCAAATTTGAATTATGTGGTACATGAGTAGGCTCCATAAAATTTAGTAGAATAAGTTTTATAGCTATTGATATAAAATAATAAAATAAAATAAAATAAAAAATATATTTTTTTTACACATTCTATGTTTTATTGAACAAGAAATTAGGAAAAATCTCTCCCATAAAAAAAAAAAAAAAAAAACCCATGTTTTGGACCCCTAGAAAAAGAACACACACTATGTGACACTCAGTCGTACCACTGCACCGAGCTTGGTCCAAACCGCATTATCTCACTAGATTCGAGGACCAACTATTGTTCACAAAAGGCCAAATATCAATTTTATTAATTTTATACTTTTTTTTTTGTTGATCATCATTATACCCAAAAAAATAACATTACTCGCTCACATACAGCTGGCTGAGCTATAACCCTCTTCTTCTTTTTTTGGTTGAAGGAATCTTCGTATCAATTTATGCATATTTTAAAATATTTTTTTATTTGTTTGATCAAATATAAATTATTTAAATTAAAATTATGATATTCACGAAAAATAAATTTTTCATATTTTAGGTTGAAAGGATTGCTAAAATTACGTTTGAGTTTATAGTTAGTACCTATTATTATTTGAATTAAATTTTTTTGAGTTTATCAAAGCAGCTCTGCACAATGAAGCATGAAGTAAAAGCAAGACGTCGTCGTCTGCGCTATTGTCCAAGTCAAACAACGTCGTTTACCTGCACTCCCTACTTGATAAAATAGATTCTAGATATGCAAAGCATATAGTTATTGAATAAAAAATAGAGATGTCTGAAAAAACTTGAGTAATGCTATATAAAATTAAAAAATAGATTTAAAAATTAAATTTGAAATTTTTCTATAATTCTTAATATTCATTAAAATTTATTACCTATTCAATAATTAAAATTATCAAATTTAATTTTTAACTCTACCTGTCACCACGCAAATAATTTTTCTCACCATATTTTTTTAAAATAATATTATATAAATTTAAAAAATAGAGTTCATAATTTCAACCATCCTACTAAAACACCAAGAAAAAACACAGTCCTGTTTCTTCAGAGGTTCAGAAACCTGTCTCAATGGCATTCCCAACATGAAATTCCAAAAGGTAAGAACAAGCCAAATGATTTCTTTTTCTGCGCTTAGTACATGGTACTACGGTACAAGTCGTTCATGTGATTGCTTTCGTTTAATTACTCAAGCATGAAAACCATAATAAGTTCTTGCCTTTGGAATTTTCCTGTTGATTTGTTCTGCTGGGTTTCGTTTCTACTATGAAAAGTTGTATTGGGTCTATTTTTGGATTCTTTAGAATTGTTCTGCAGTTTGGCGCGTGATTATGATTTATATAGGTTTGAAACTTGGAATTTGATTTTGTCTAAGCTTTTTTGAATTTGATTGAGTTAAAAGATGGCGGAAGCTTCAAAGTTTCGGTTAGTTCGTTGCCCCAAGTGCGAAAATCTACCTCCTGAGCTTCCAGACATCTCTGTCTACCAGTGTGGTGGCTGTGGTGCTGTTCTTCGAAGTAACATCTCTCTCTCTCTCTCTCTCTCTCTCTCTTTATATATATATATATATTGGATACATTACAGATATACAGACATATTTGTGTATAAACTTATATAGAGAGCTGGGATTATGTGTGTGTGTGTTTGTGCGTGTTTGTTTAACTAAATAGAGTTGTGCCAATCTCTTTCTGTATATTTTTTTGTTTTGATGAAACAGCGACGAATAAAGGGCCTGTGAATGTTACTTTGTCGAAGCAATCGGAAAACGAAATGGTTAGGGGTGGTTCTGAGAAAGAAGCTGTTAGTTTTGGTCGTGTTATTGAGACACAAGGGGAAAGTGATCAGCTTGAACTTCGTAAAACAAGAGAGAGAATCTCTCATGAAAGAGTTGATGATATAAAGGGTAGTTCTTCACCAAGAACAGAAAATAGGGAAGTTCTGATTGATTCTGATAGAACCAGAAGAGGAGAAACAATGGGGTTGAGACCTGATCAGTTTAATAAAGTTGAGTCTTATGATAATGACGAATATAGGCGACCTTCCAATGTTTCAAATGACAATTGGGTTCGGAGAAACAATCCTAACTTGGGCATGAATAGACATGAATATGTTGATTCGAGTGTTGAAAATGAACTTGGAAAAATTAGACACCGCCCAATTGGGTCCTTAAGATCACAAGGAAATGATGTTGACTTGAACCTTGATAGGCCTGAATATGTTAATTTTAGTGTAGAAGATGAGCTTGAAAGAGTCAGACTCCCAGTTGGGTCCTTAAGATCAAGGCCTATCATGGACCAGTGGAGCATTGGAAGAAATGGGTCAACGGCATTTCATGGGAATGCCATAGGTGTTGCAGAACATAGGAGGTTTGCAAGTTTCCCCCATCCAGAAGAGGGGCCTTCAAATTATTGGCCTGGTTCTTTCTGTGGCTATGGTGAGCAATTAAGGAATGGTGATGGATTCGATGGGCTTGCTAGAGTTGAAAACCTAGAAAACAACAGAGCTGAGCTCCTTAGAAAACTTGGTCAGTTAAAGGATCAGCTCAGTAGATCCAGTGATGTGGCTGAGAAACGAAAGGAAAGGGTTGCTGTTGATAGGAGGATGGCTCCACCTCCACCTGATCCTTATGCTGGATATGGTGCTTTTATTCCAGAAGGATCAACTAACTTGTATGGTGTTGATATGCAGCCCATTGCAATAGATAGAAATGTTCCAGCTCCTTATTTCGATCATTATCGTGGGCCTCTCCCTTATACTAGTAGCCATGGTTTGGATATGCAAGACTTCTATGCTGCTTCAAGTAATGCCCCAAATGAATTTCTGGGGCATGAGGATGTCTATAGGTCACAAATGCTAAGAAGGCCCGCAAATCAACCACTGTTTCAATATTTGCAAGGGCCATTTCATGACAATTTTGCTGTACAACACACAGATTTCAATCAGGATGCCCTTGCGTCACAGCCACATGAAACTTTTTGTCACCAGTCGGCATGCTCTTGTTTGCACTGCTCCAAGAGGAGCTGGCATGTCCCTCCAAAAGTCCCACCCCCTGTTTTCAGCAATCGAAAGTTGCCAAATGAAACTAACGATCACATTTTCTATGGCCGTGTCAATGATGTTACATACAGTCCACAGGGTTATCATTCCGAATACTACAGTCCACAGGGTTATCATCCTGAATATTCCAATCCTCTTCAACTGCATCCTTGGGATCAACAACCGCATACAAAGAGTTCAAATGACCTTGATTCGGAAAATGGTGGTTTTGGTTTCAGTCATCCAAGAATGGTGGTTGTTGCCCATGGGAGTGAACAGTTTCTGTGTCCTGTAGCAGGTGGTGCCCCTTTAGTAACATGCTGTAATTGTTTTGAGCTGCTGAAACTTCCAATGAAACTTATGGTAGTGGGGAAGAAACAAAGAAAGCTGAGATGTGGAACCTGCTCTTCTATAATCTTATTCAAGTTTGAGAACAAGAGGCTTGTTGTATCAGTTCCTACACCAATCAAGCAAGTTTCTTCCGATGTTGATGATGACTCTATTGAGAAGATGCAAAATGAAAACCTTCAAAATTCTCATGGTTATCGGAATGTTAGTTCATCAACATCCTGCTCCAACGACTATGGTAATTTTGATTATAACTTCCAGTTGAGTAATGAACCCAAGTTATTGTCAAGAGACCGGAGGTCAAATATCAGTGAATCTGAAGATAGACAGGGCCCTCGTTCATCCTCTTCGAGCTTTTCTAATGATGAGCAAAGCCCAGACAGTGTGATTGTTCAAAAAGATGTTTCTGATTCTGCCTTGTTGCCTTCAAAAGAAGATGTGCCTTCACATTTTCCAGATTCACCGCTCCAAGAACAGCCTGATTATTCTTCTACTAATGAGGTGGCCAGCAGATATGTGAAGAATAAAAAGACTCTGCGTACTGATCAAGACAAGGTTATCCTTGATAGGACTACCTACCGACAGAATTCTGCAAAAGATGCACCTGTGGCTACTGAGATGGAAGATCCTTTTAATGATTTTTCAACCAGTGTTGTTTCTCAAGATTCTGTGGAGATGAGCAAAGAAGAAGATAGACCTAGGACTAACAAGGGGGGTGAATCCTTCTTTGCAGGTCTCATCAAAAAAAGATATAGAGAGTTCTCAAGGTCTAGTCAAGGTAGTGAGAATGGAAGATCAAATGTTTTTGTCAATGGCCAGCTAATACCAGATTGTGTAGTTAAGAAGGCTGAGAAGTTAGCTGGGCCTATTGAGCCTGGAGAGTACTGGTAAGTGCTTGTACTTATACTATTTGTTTTGGTACTGATGCAGACTGCAGTGTCTTTTGACCTCACATATGGATGGTTGTTTCTCTAATGTTTCTGCTTAACCAGGTATGATTTCCGGGCTGGTTTTTGGGGTGTGAAGGGCCAGGCTTGCCTTGGCATCATTCCGGTGAGATCAACAAATGACTTACGTGTATCATTCCTCTCCTTGTTAGTGTTTCATGTTATAGAATATATTGCTGATCCAGCATGCCTATCCTGCAGCCACTTATTGAAGAATTCAATTATCCCATGCCAGAGAATTGCGCTGCTGGAAACACTGAAATTCTTGTGAATGGACGTGAGCTTCATCAGAAAGATTTAGATTTACTTGCTGGCAGAGGCCTTCCGATCACAAAACATAGGTCTTATCTTATTGAGTTCTCTGGGAGAGTCTTGGATGAGCGCACTGGGGAAGAACTAGACAGCCTCGGGAAACTTGCCCCTACGTAAGTTCCACTTCTTTCAATGGACAAAGGCCTTAATGTTCATTTTCAGTGCTGCATCTTTGCTAACAAATTATTCTAGCGGATAATTTGATGCCAGGTTTTGCCATCATGTTTGTGGGTCTCTCACTTTTGCCTTGATATGTATGAAACTGGGAGTGCTAGGATGGGCAGAACTTCCTCCCTAAACAGATACGTATTAGGTTCTTAGTGGCCCTCTATGGATGTCCACAATCCACTTAGATGGTTTATTTGGTTGACTGAAAATGTGCCAAATCTTCTTGTAGGTATTAAAAGTGAGCCTCGCATCATATCAATAATTTCCTAGGACATCTTTTATCTCTGAAGTAGCTGACCTCGAGTTGACTTAAAACTAAGTTGTTGTGTAGCTGAATACAGACTACTCTCTGTTGTGAGTGGGACTCTTTCTTACCGAACACATGCACCCAGTTTTTAGCTTAGTGGTGTATCTTGCCACCCTCAAGAGGGGAGGTGCAGGGCTGAAGTCCCACTGGGGCCATGAGTGCTTGTGATTATACTTTTTGAAACCTTTTTCCTGAAAAACTGAGACACTGATGAATCATGCTAGTTAGGCAAAAGTGAGTCCTGAATTGTTTTACAAAACTTATATTCTATTCGACATCAGAGAGCATTGAACTAATGCACCCTACAGCATATTGGCTTTCTCATTCTGAAGAGCTAGTTTTTATGAAGGCTTGCAGTATCAATCTGTTCTGTTCACTTAAGGTTCCATCTTCTGACAAAATGAAATGCATTTTATAAGAGCAGTGATGTTCATATCATTCTCAATGAATAAGATTCATCATTTAGATCGTTTCACTCTTCATGTTATTACATTTATTCATTCAGAAATTCATCTTCACGAAACCTAAAATGGTTTCACTGTCACAATGGACCTCTTTGGAGCTATCTTAAATAGGTAGTTTTTAAGGGTTTTGAAGTAAAATAAGACAAATTCGTTTGAACTTTGGTTTTTTTACGAGCTTATGCAGCAGTTTTTGGACTCAAAAAGATTTATTTTGGGTGATTCAAGAAACTGATTTTATGAACTTTTTTCGAACTTTTTTAGAGTTTTGTCGCGAGTCTCACATAACGACAAAAAAATTAAAATTCATATTTTAGNGAATTCAATTATCCCATGCCAGAGAATTGCGCTGCTGGAAACACTGAAATTCTTGTGAATGGACGTGAGCTTCATCAGAAAGATTTAGATTTACTTGCTGGCAGAGGCCTTCCGATCACAAAACATAGGTCTTATCTTATTGAGTTCTCTGGGAGAGTCTTGGATGAGCGCACTGGGGAAGAACTAGACAGCCTCGGGAAACTTGCCCCTACGTAAGTTCCACTTCTTTCAATGGACAAAGGCCTTAATGTTCATTTTCAGTGCTGCATCTTTGCTAACAAATTATTCTAGCGGATAATTTGATGCCAGGTTTTGCCATCATGTTTGTGGGTCTCTCACTTTTGCCTTGATATGTATGAAACTGGGAGTGCTAGGATGGGCAGAACTTCCTCCCTAAACAGATACGTATTAGGTTCTTAGTGGCCCTCTATGGATGTCCACAATCCACTTAGATGGTTTATTTGGTTGACTGAAAATGTGCCAAATCTTCTTGTAGGTATTAAAAGTGAGCCTCGCATCATATCAATAATTTCCTAGGACATCTTTTATCTCTGAAGTAGCTGACCTCGAGTTGACTTAAAACTAAGTTGTTGTGTAGCTGAATACAGACTACTCTCTGTTGTGAGTGGGACTCTTTCTTACCGAACACATGCACCCAGTTTTTAGCTTAGTGGTGTATCTTGCCACCCTCAAGAGGGGAGGTGCAGGGCTGAAGTCCCACTGGGGCCATGAGTGCTTGTGATTATACTTTTTGAAACCTTTTTCCTGAAAAACTGAGACACTGATGAATCATGCTAGTTAGGCAAAAGTGAGTCCTGAATTGTTTTACAAAACTTATATTCTATTCGACATCAGAGAGCATTGAACTAATGCACCCTACAGCATATTGGCTTTCTCATTCTGAAGAGCTAGTTTTTATGAAGGCTTGCAGTATCAATCTGTTCTGTTCACTTAAGGTTCCATCTTCTGACAAAATGAAATGCATTTTATAAGAGCAGTGATGTTCATATCATTCTCAATGAATAAGATTCATCATTTAGATCGTTTCACTCTTCATGTTATTACATTTATTCATTCAGAAATTCATCTTCACGAAACCTAAAATGGTTTCACTGTCACAATGGACCTCTTTGGAGCTATCTTAAATAGGTAGTTTTTAAGGGTTTTGAAGTAAAATAAGACAAATTCGTTTGAACTTTGGTTTTTTTACGAGCTTATGCAGCAGTTTTTGGACTCAAAAAGATTTATTTTGGGTGATTCAAGAAACTGATTTTATGAACTTTTTTCGAACTTTTTTAGAGTTTTGTCGCGAGTCTCACATAACGACAAAAAAATTAAAATTCATATTTTAGGAACTATTATGCATAATTTATACATACATGTAATTATTTTTTTATTTTGACACAAAAAACAAAAAAAAAATAGAAAATCATTCCAAATGAACTTTTCTAACTTTTTCAGCTTTTTAAAGAACACTTCAAATGATTTTGGGGAACATTTTAAACTTTAATTTTTTTCACGAAACTTTTCAAATGACAATTTTTCACTTCAAAAAACTAACTCCAAACTGGCTCAATAGGTTGTTTATTCACATGTTCGAAGCTTTTAAAGCTAAAAGTTTATAGTTAGTTACGATTCGACAATTTCCAATTTGAGTCTACGTAATTACCCTATCACTTACCATTCTGTAAGAAACACTTGGTTGGCATTTTCACCTCCTTTTGCCACTAATTTGGTTCTTATAAAAAGATGGATTATTAACTATTGAAATTTTAACAGGGTTGAGAGGGTAAAGCATGGATTTGGTATGAAAGTTCCTAGCCTGGTTGCATGATGAGATTGCATTGCAGCTGCTTCAGTTTCGACTTATCTTCCACTGGATTGGTGCATCTTGCTGTGCTAGTATGTGTTCGATATGCAGGCACATGCATAATCCTGAAAATATAATGGATGCAAAGTCAAAATGCTTTAAGATTTATGATTTGTTATCTTTTTAGTAATATAATTCATGAAATTAACAGCGTGATTGTTTATACATTTGGATCTTATCCTATTGGACAAGCTTAGAAATCAATAATGCAATACAAATACTGAGAAGTTTCTCTTAATTTGATATGAATATGGATCTAGCATTAGAGAAGATTATTGTTAGAGCAATGTTATTGAGACCTAAATTAAAAAATTAATGTGAAAATTTAAAGAATTATGATATTTGGAATGACACTGAATTCGAAATTGAGCGAAATCCTCTAATAATTTGATTATTACCATACATTTATCTATAAATTAAGTTACTAAATTAAATACAAATACTATTATTTACAAGGATCAAAATTTTATTTCGAAACGTTCAAAACGTTTTCGTTTTCAATGAAATTAAAACGAATAAATGATAGAATTGAAATTCTAAATACTTCGAGGTGTTTCATAATATTTCAAAGTGTTTTGTAATATTTTAATATATTTACACAATTATTTCGAAATATTTTAAGATTTTTAAAAATATTTTGGTATATTTTATTATATTTTTAAAATAAATTAAAATATTTTTGAAATACTTCAAAATATTTTTTTAAGTGATTAAAATAATATACCAAAATAAAATTTGGATCATTCGTTATTACTAGGGGTGTGTTATCCTCTAGGTGTGGAACCTTGGAGAAGGCTCAAGCCCAGTGGGATGGTCGGTTGGCCGTTTCTCACTTTCACCCAAGTTACTACCGCCCCACTTTCCCGGGGGAAAATATTAGGGTGTAATTCGGATGGCTAATTCGAATTCAACTTCGGTCAAATAAAAAAAAAAAAGAATTGGGTTAGACTTGGACAAAAAAATTTTAACCCGAATTAAATTTGGGTAATCATCGGGTTGATGTCTCGGATTGTCGGATTCTACCCGAATATTAAAATAGAGTTGAATTTGATTATCGAATCGGGTTGAACCCGAATATATATAAATATATTTATTTAGAGTTAGTATTTATCTTTACTCTTTAGGGTCAAGATTTTTATTTTACTGCAAATCTTCACCTATGTGCCTCAATCACTCTCAGATCCCTCTTTCACTCGTCACTCCTTCCTCTCTCAGCCTCCCCGGTTAATCTTTACTCATCTGAGTTGTCTCAGACTTTCAGCTTTCTTCTCTCACTTGTCACTTCTCATTTTCCCTTCATCTTAGATCACTTAGAAAAATCAAATTTATACTTGAAAACATCAAATCTACATTTCAAAATATCAACGCAAATTAAGTAACCTAAGCTCAAATAGATTTTAATCTGAAAACGATCCAAATTTAGTAGCTCGAATTCAATTTAAACCCGTCCAAATTAAACTCGGATAGTACTCGAGTTAAAATAGAGTTAGAATTAATATTAGGTTTATAATTAGAGTTAAAGATTATATACTTAAGATTGAGATAAATTTAGCCTCTCAATTCGTCCAATCCACCTTAATTACGCGCCGAACAAAATATCTGACAGCTAAAACTACAAACTCACGCCCTAGATTTACGCTAATTACAAAAAAAATAAAATAAAGCAAGCCTGCTCTGTCTTGTAATAATAACTAATCACCTAAACTTTATATCATGTCCTCATCATTATAGTGAAGTTTCATCTAACCCAAGCTACAAAAGGTGTGCCACCGCTATTTTATTTTGTTTTTAAATTTTGTCGGTTTTATGCAATCAGAATCTACTGTATAAATTAGCTTAAACTTCCATTAATAGAGACTTGGCTCAAAACCCATTTTGAATTACTTAGGTTAAAGAGCAACCATTTGGTGTCGGAGACTCTGATTTTTACAACGAGAGCCCACAGATACTGTAGATGGTGAAGAACATGTTGTTCAATTGGAAGTCATGGTGGTGGTCTCTTCACAAGCACAACTACTTGCTAGTGAAATTGGGTGTTTCGATTCTTCTTCTGGGTTTTGCTTTTAGACTTCTCTTCTCTCAATCCACTGGGTTTTCGGAGGTTTCAGAAACCCCATTTCTTGAGAAAACTGAGAACCCAGTAGCTCCAGTTTCTGATGGTTTCGGGGAAAATACAGATCAGATTCCTGACAAAGGTACTCAAATTTGCTTGTTCTGAGCTGGGTTTTGTTTTCTTATCGTGTTATTGCCTAAATGAGTGGAACTGCGCAAGAAATTAAAATCAGCAGTATTAAGTTTGATAAAATTGGTCTGTGTACAGACAGAGTTCACGATCCTTTGAGATCTACATAAAACAAGTGTTTTTGTGAGAGTACCTACTGAAAAATTGTGATGTGATATCGTCGTGATTTGGTATTTGTGATAGAAATATTAATTTTTTTGTGGGGGTTTATTCTAAATAGCTTGCGCTTTGCTTTTGATTGACCTAATGCTGTCTTCAATTTCATTATTTGGATAGTCCTCTTTCGTTTCCTTTATAATCTGCTATATATGTGTTTGTAGTTTGTGTATATTAAATGAATGTAAAGTGTTCTTCGTTTGATGTGCATTACGGCAATGCAGAAGAGTGTGATCTTTTTACCGGAGATTGGATCCCAAACCCTGCTGGTCCTCGTTACAGCAATGATAGCTGCAAATTTATTGAAAGTCATCAGAATTGTATGAAGAATGGGCGGCCAGATACACGGTATCTTTACTGGAGGTGGAAGCCACAAGATTGCGGGCTGCCTCAACTCGATCCAGAAAGATTTCTTGAGATGATGAGGAATAAAACATGGGCGTTGATTGGGGATTCAATATCTAGAAACCATGTCCAGTCATTGCTTTGCATCCTCTCAAAGGTAAAATCTATATAATAATTGAATGCATAGAGGATGTTTTCTTGGAATAATGTGTTAGGAAATTTGAAAGAAATTCCCAAACCTGTGAGGAACAAAAAAATAGAGAAAATACATGTCAAAGAAAAACAATCACACACACAAAAGATAATATTTATGTGGTTCAGTAATTTGCCTACGTCCACGAAGTTGCAGGGATTTCACTATTGAGAAGAAGGAATACAGAGGGCAGTTGTACAGTAGCGATTCAACCCTAATCACCAAAATAACAGTTTTTATATGTCCTGCGCACTAGACTACAAAACAAGTCCAAATTTTTTTTTCCAGCGGAGTTGCCCCCTAGTCGGCCCAAACCCTCCGCTCCATGGACTAAACCTCAGAAAATTTTCCATTAAAAAACCACGCAACATTATTTTGGGTCGGGTTATCGTCCGGATTAACACAAATTAGACTCCACAAAAAAAAACCCAACATAATGGGACTGAGAATAAAGCAAAGTTGTTAAGTGAAATAGTGATTTTAATTTTTCATTGCTTTGATCTTTGTGAAACTGTATCCAACAGCCATGAGATGTGAGTCACCTCTATGATAAGGTGTTCACCTACTTTAGAACTTTTGGAGGAGAGTCTTTATCTGAGATAGCAATTTTCTTTCTCGGCGTTTGTCTCACCAATTAGGCTGTGATAGAAAATTAGTTTGACCTTCATATGAGCTTTTCGACTTCCCACTATTTTGGAGCCCTTAGTTTCACTGCCGTATCAACCATAAGCAACCATCTCATAGTGTTGAGAAAGTGAATTTTTCCTGCATCATTCTTGTTTTGGCATAGTTTCCATGCACCCAGGCAAGAAAAAATAAAAGGAATTTCTGTGTTTCAACTAAAATTTTACGGTCTCTATCTTGACGATTTCAATAGCATTCAAGTTGTCACTCATACATGTTTTAGTTTGTTGATTCTTCTGCATCAAATAACAATTGGCTTTGCCATAGTATGAACCACTTGTGCTTTGATGACTTTTGTCCACAACTTTCATTTTGGTGAAACAATCAACTGATAATCTTGTTTTGTTTCCCTTTTGGGTTGCTTTTTGGATTATAGTTTGATGGTGTTCCTACCAAATTAAACAACTCTCTTCTTCAGTTCTTTGTTACTTTTCATATTTTGGATTCCTTCCTTTGTGTCTTGTGTATCTTTATGTTGGCAGTTGGTTGCTTAAACAGGATCAGCTGGATTGAAGGTTCCAAAAAAGCTATAATATGTTAAAAGTTTGAGTACAAAATTGAAACAAAAAAATCTAGAGACTAAATTGACAGTCAATGTTTTGAGGGTGAAAAGTGCAACTAATTCTCTTTTAATTTCAATTGCTTTGTTGCCGATGGTTGTTAATTGCCACTGTGGTATTGTCGATATCTCAGTGTTAGTTTTCTTGCTCAATTGATTCAGTTTGGAGCTATTCTACTAAGTGGATAAATATTTTAGCACTAACCTAAAATTTATTTCCCGAGTCCAACTGATCAAATTAAGAGTTGTTGTCGTCAGGTGGAAGAAGCTGTTGAAGTTTACCATGATGAGGAGTACAGATCCAGAAGATGGAACTTCCCATCGTACAACTTCACTGTTTCTGTAATTTGGTCCCCTTTCCTTGCTAAAGCTGCCATTTTTGAAGACTACAATGGTGTTTCAACTCATGAGATTGAGCTGCAAATTGACAAACTTGATACGAATTGGACAAAACTATACCAGGGCTTGGATTACATAGTTTTTTCAAGTGGCAAATGGTTTTTTAAAAGTGCAATTTACTATGAGAACAACAAAATATTGGGCTGCCATTACTGTCCTGGAAAGAACCTGACGGAGCTCGGGTTCAATTTTGCTTATCGCAAAGTCCTCAAGAATGTTTTCAACTTCATTGTCTCATCCAATCATAAGGGGATGATCTTTTATCGAACCTCCACGCCAGATCACTTCGAGAATGGGGAATGGTTTAATGGTGGGACCTGTACAAGAGCAGAACCAGTAAAGGAAGGTGAGTTCGAGTTAACTGAGTTGGTCAAAATTCTTCGTGACATCGAATTAAAGGAATTTGAGAAGGCTGCAGCTAAAGCCTCTGAAGCAGGGGTGAAGCTTAAACTTTTTGATGTAACCCCACTTTCATTGCTGAGGCCTGATGGACACCCAGGTCCGTATCGACACTTCTACCCATTTTCCAAGGATAATAAGAATGCAAAACTTATCAATGACTGCCTGCATTGGTGCTTGCCTGGGCCAATTGATTCATGGAATGATTTGCTTACGAAAATGATAGTAAATGGTTGAGACGATCAGCGTATCAAATCCGGATATTGTTTGCTTAGGAGAATGGTGGACGAATGCTGGATCTCCACCCTGTGAATACTATACAATTCAAGGCATTACCTTTGTGGTTCTTTGTCCGACGAGTTCATCAGTATCGGCATTTGTAAGTCTTGAATACAATTCTTATCATCAGTTAGAAAAAAGTTTTGAAATCTTCCTTCCCATATATTTGACATTGAATCAAGTCACTCTGTTCAATGATTATGTTTTACTTGAATCTAGTTCTGAATGCTTTATGATTGTGGCAAGGAACCTACTAGTAACACCATCTTATGAATGCCATGGTGGAGTTATGGGTTAAAACAAGGTTGTCCCAAAAACTGTGGGTCTAACCCAAGGTTGTTCTAAGTGGTAACAAAGTGGTTTTAGTTTGAATTTTGATAATTTTTTGGAATCAGCCCATAAAAAATTATTTGAGGTGCGCATAAGTTCCTGATCGTTGAATCAAAAAAAAAAAAACAAACTATGGGGTCAGGTTTTAATTTACTCACAATTTTATTTTATTTTACTCAATTTCTGTCATAATTTTTGGTGATGGTTCAAATCCAAATTCTCATTATAGAAGGATTGTAAACCATGACAATCTAAATGTAAATCCCTCTGCAAACTCTGCCTTAAGCCATGGAGTCTGATCCGTTTGGATGATGAAAAAATAGATCCGTTTGGATGATGAAAAAATAGATGGATGAAAAGTTGAAATGATAAATAAAATATCATGTTTGGGAAGGAAGGAAAATAAAAAAGATGAAAAAGTGGATGAATTAATTTTTTTTCTAACTAATCAAAATTAATCTTTTTAAAATCGGAACGAAAGTGGATGAAAAGTTAATTATTTGTATTGAAATGTATTTTATTTGTCTATATATCTTTATATATATATAAAATTAATTTTATATAAAAATACAATGATAAAATATGTATTAAAAAACAATAAAAATAAAACATAAAAAAAATAAAAAATACAAAAATACAAAAATAAAACAATAAAAATTTAAATTAAAAAATTTAAATTAAAAAAAATATTTTTTTCATTTTAATTAAGAGTGAAAATTTTTGACTCAACATGATGACACGTGTGAGACCCAATCACGCATTGCACATATATTAATATAATTTTGTGGGCTAAATTATAATTATGTCAAAGTATTAAAGAGTTAATTAAATTAAATCTTTCATAGCCACGATGTATGTGAACATACATTAGGTAGGTGGACTCCGTTGGTGATATATGAGTGAAACCCGGAATTTCATGTATGAAAATATTAGTGGGTCGAGTTCAAAATTATTTAATAATTTGGGGGAGGCAAGGATAATTAACCCATTCCCTTTACAAGTGTTACATGTTATATATATATATATATATATATATATATATATATAAGTGTACCGTGTGTGTGTGTAATATAAGTATATAGGTTTGTGTGTGTGTTTAAGACAAAAAATAACAAGAGAGTTCTGGTTTTGGGCTGAAGCCGAGAGAGAGAGAGAGAGGAGAACAAGAGAGGAAAAGAGAAAAAACAAAAGAAAGAAAGAGAGAAGACGTCAGGGAAAAAAAAAATATACGTGCGTCCGTCCGCAAGCAAGCTATAAGGATTTAAGTTTTGAATTGTGCTTAATTTTTGTATGTATGTGTGGACTGTTTTAACATGTTTTAATTAGTAGGTTATTTTAATGTAAATACATGAGCTGTCTTATTTTATTTTAATGGACTGTTTTAATTCAATCTCAGATTTAGTTAATGTCAAAACAGATTTTGTATGAGTGTAATTAAATATATTTAGCATAATTAACGGGCTGTTAAAAAAAATAAGTTTCAAATGGGTATTAAAATAAAGATGAGAAAAATATGGAATATGACTATTTGAAATGTTCGGTATATTTTTGAGGGATAGGTTGGAACCGAAATTATGGGAATGAAATGAGTGGATTAAAGGGCCAATTAGGGGCTGTTTTGTATTGATTAAATGTGTATGTGAATTTAAGTGTGACGGTTTTAAATAAAAAGTGCGATAGAAGTGAGAAAAAGAGTGTCGGTAACGCCGAAACCTTAATTTCTAAATGTTATTATCATATGTGCAAATTTTAATATAAATGACCTAAAATTTTGCATGTAGCATTTTTAGATGATACTTGATATGATAATGTGACTTTCGAATGCAAATGAATATAATATCCGGTGCGAAATATATGAAATGCCAGAAGTATAATTTTTAGGATTCGGGGTCAAAATGTGTGAAAATGAGCCTTCGGTCAATGTGTTTGACCTGCTTAATCCTAATTGTGATTAATGTGATTGAATTTGGGAATTTAGGGAAGAAATATAATCCCTAGAACAAAAGTGTTAGTGTGTGAGTGGATAGGACGGTAACCGGAGTTACCGGGGCACTTTGGGGTGCATACATTATTAACTATTAACTGTGATAAATATATTGATCTTGTAATTACACATGTGTTAGGTGGAACGGGTGAGACAGTCGGTGCCAGAACGAGTACGGTAACACCAAAAGGATCCACCAATAGGATCGAAGGGTCGTAGTTTTGTACATTTGAGGTGGGTGTATATCTTTATATATTTTGAAAATGCTATTATCAGATGATAGTAAATGATAGAATTTAATAGTAATTCTTCAAGATTATGTGCTACGTCCTTATGTGATTGAATGATACTTTATACTGTGTATTGTCTATTGTGGAATGTGACGCACTGTTTGAGACAAGGGCGTCGATACCTGGTCACTGGGCGTGTAGTGATATGCTAACACAGTGGTGTTCTCGAGAGGTTCGGGAGATACGGATCCATGTGAAATATATTACCTAATGAGGGGTAGTGTGGATGTGACGTGGCTTGTGAATTCTTTGAATTTGATTGATGTTGTTGGTTGATACGTGTATCTACGTAGTATCTATCTACTTTAGTGTATTACTATCTTTTTCATTCCATATACTGCATGTATATTCATTGAGCGTGTGGTTTAGCTCACACCCCTACAGTTTCTTCTTTTAGGTACTATAGAGAAGGATGCAGACAGGTCCACAGTCCAGTTGATTGAGTCTTGTGCAACGTTAGTGTGATACCACTCAGGTTGAGTGTCGGTATAACTAGTCGTTGGGCTGTGTATTATATTTATGAGAGATATTTATGGCAGGTTAATAGTATATATTTGTAAATAGATTCAACAAACATACTTTATGATGTATGCTATATGGGTGTGAGATTTTGTATATGTCTATAACTTGAAAAATAAATGATTGACACAGGTGTTATATATAGTACAAGTTATCAAACAGGTTTTACCATCATACTTAATAACTAAGGTGATGAGTGTTGTTGTTGCACATGTGGGAATATATCATATTTGATTAGTTCAGCTTATAATAGTTATTCACAGGTGTATGAAAAACCTAGTCACGTTTCATCCTTAGGAGACCGGGATGGGGCGTGACAACATGACTCGAATTCGACACAAATTTTATGACACAAACTTGATTAACTCGAACACGATCATGACATGAAAATAAACAGGTTAACTCGTAACTCGACACGACACAATTAATTAAATGAGTTGAGTTAGGTGTGACTAATGTTCGACATAAATCCTTAATAACTCAACATAAATTTGACACGACACGACTTGATTGTCACTCTTAATCTTAACTAGTACAAAAAAAAAATTAGTCATTTTTATTTTTCATACATCCAATTAAACACAAAGGAAAGAAAGTGTATCATTCATACTTTCCTTCCTTGAAAGATAGAAAGTGTATTTCTCATGTTTTTTATCTTTCCTACCAAACGGAGCACCAAAAACTTTGGAATTACATAATTTCCACAAATCTGTGCTCTGGTTCAAATTTTCCCTCTCACCGACTCTCCTGAAGCAAATTCCATGGAGATTTGAAGGTTTTCCTTCTATCCAAATTTCAAGGCATATTATATTTTAAAGGTCGTTTTTAGGCTTGCAATGTATTAACTATTTCAAATGCACAATTTTGAAGTTCGACTCTTCTCTAATTTAATAGAAACTATTTTTTTTTAATTCTCATTTGATTGGTCAAGATTTATTTAGACCAATAGAACTATAAACATTCTTAATATATTGACATGAATAAAAATTTTAATCATTCAAAAGAGAATTGAAGAAACATATAACTTTTGTTAATTGATTATATAAATCACCACACACAAGTACCGAATCTCAATAATTTAATGTTGATAATGCACAAAATGACTTTCCACATTATCTGTCAAGTGATAGAAAATAAATGTACTAATTAAAAGGAAAGAGAGATGGAGGAGACAAGATTTGTAGTGGTTCGGTCAATCGTGACCTATGTCCATACTTTTGAATGACCTTGGTCGCCTGATACTTTATTAGCTCAAGAATGTAGGGAACAGAGAGTACAAGCTTTTAAAAGGGGGAGGAGAGAGTCGTGCTCAATTAGGAGTGTGATCCTACCCATCTTCATGCTCCCCAAGTGTTGGTAGGGTTTACAATTTATAGTTGTCCTCCTAACAAATTTGGACGAAGTATTAGCAACTACATAACTATTCTAGTGGAGTTCACGACTTCTCCTCAACGGACTAGACAGTTGTGGTGCCCTCCATGGAACTCGGTCAAATGATGACGTGGATGTTGACTCTTTCCAAAGGGATGAAGATAAGTCTCTTGGATGACTCTTTCTCCAAGGTGGTAGAGGAGGAAAGCTGGGGCACTTGCAGAGGAGACCTGGACACCTGAGGATGGCCTTGCATGCTGCTTTACTGATAAAACTCGTGGAACCTGATGAATTTGACCGGGTGCAGACTTTTTTAGACTTGACTTGTTGGACCTCTTGGAGTTGAGTCTTTGGACTTGTAACATGAGTTAGCCCATAAGATGTGATAATTATTGATGATTAATTAATAATAATTATTTTAATTATAATGTCACATAATGTTCTTTTAGTATAAAAATAAATATGTAGATAAGATATTCCACGTATTCGTTATAGATCATTCTCACTGGGCACCATATAATTATCTACATGAGACTTTAGGGTACTTGTGTCGGGACCGAGTCTGAACTTAAAATCTCACTAATCATCATATGCTTCGGCTGTTAAAGTGTTAATTTAATCCCTACGGAGGTACCATATTTGTGGAGAGTGAAATCCAAATATTAAAGTGAGTAATGGAATAATGTAAATCCTTCTTGGTTTTTTGGGTTTTTTTTGGGAAGGGGGGGGGGNGGGGGGGGGGGGGGGGGGGGGGGGGGGGGGGGGGGGGGGGGGGGGGGGGGGGGGGGGGGGGGGGGGGGGGGGGGGGGGGGGGGGGGGGGGGGGGGGGGGGGGGGGGGGGGGGGGGGGGGGGGGGGGGGGGGGGGGGGGGGGGGGGGGGGGGGGGGGGGGGGGGGGGGGGGGGGGGGGGGGGGGGGGGGGGGGGGGGGGGGGGGGGGGGGGGGGGGGGGGGGGGGGGGGGGGGGGGGGGGGGGGGGGGGGGGGGGGGGGGGGGGGGGGGGGGGGGGGGGGGGGGGGGGGGGGGGGGGGGGGGGGGGGGGGGGGGGGGGGGGGGGGGGGGGGGGGGGGGGGGGGGGGGGGGGGGGGGGGGGGGGGGGGGGGGGGGGGGGGGGGGGGGGGGGGGGGGGGGGGGGGGGGGGGGGGGGGGGGGGGGGGGGGGGGGGGGGGGGGGGGGGGGGGGGGGGGGGGGGGGGGGGGGGGGGGGGGGGGGGGGGGGGGGGGGGGGGGGGGGGGGGGGGGGGGGGGGGGGGGGGGGGGGGGGGGGGGGGGGGGGGGGGGGGGGGGGGGGGGGGGGGGGGGGGGGGGGGGGGGGGGGGGGGGGGGGGGGGGGGGGGGGGGGGGGGGGGGGGGGGGGGGGGGGGGGGGGGGGGGGGGGGGGGGGGGGGGGGGGGGGGGGGGGGGGGGGGGGGGGGGGGGGGGGGGGGGGGGGGGGGGGGGGGGGGGGGGGGGGGGGGGGGGGGGGGGGGGGGGGGGGGGGGGGGGGGGGGGGGGGGGGGGGGGGGGGGGGGGGGGGGGGGGGGGGGGGGGGGGGGGGGGGGGGGGGGGGGGGGGGGGGGGGGGGGGGGGGGGGGGGGGGGGGGGGGGGGGGGGGGGGGGGGGGGGGGGGGGGGGGGGGGGGGGGGGGGGGGGGGGGGGGGGGGGGGGGGGGGGGGGGGGGGGGGGGGGGGGGGGGGGGGGGGGGGGGGGGGGGGGGGGGGGGGGGGGGGGGGGGGGGGGGGGGGGGGGGGGGGGGGGGGGGGGGGGGGGGGGGGGGGGGGGGGGGGGGGGGGGGGGGGGGGGGGGGGGGGGGGGGGGGGGGGGGGGGGGGGGGGGGGGGGGGGGGGGGGGGGGGGGGGGGGGGGGGGGGGGGGGGGGGGGGGGGGGGGGGGGGGGGGGGGGGGGGGGGGGGGGGGGGGGGGGGGGGGGGGGGGGGGGGGGGGGGGGGGGGGGGGGGGGGGGGGGGGGGGGGGGGGGGGGGGGGGGGGGGGGGGGGGGGGGGGGGGGGGGGGGGGGGGGGGGGGGGGGGGGGGGGGGGGGGGGGGGGGGGGGGGGGTAAGTCCCATGTCAGATGTCCCAACGGTCAAAACCTGAGAATATCCAACTCCAACTGTGGAACTCAAACCACTCTTCAAATCTCCACAATACATTTGAATTCAAAAAATCCAACCGTTGCTCCGCAATCTCTTTGCTGTATAAAAACTCTCCTCAAAAAAATCAAATCACAATTTCTCTTTCTCTCTGTCTGTGTCTTGCTCTCGCCATGGCTGACACTCCAATCTCCGAAATGCTCCTCATTGCCGGTCCTGTTCCAAAGAAAGGGAGGACCAAGAAGGCGGCACTGAAACAGAAAAATCAATCATCAAGTGAGGCCAACATCTTGGCCGGAGCAAGCGCTCAACCATCACCCACACCGGTTGAGCAATCACCGGATGACTCTGCCGGAAAAGAGAACCACGAGAGCCTTTCGCAGCCTCCGTCTCAAAAGAAAACAACAAGAGGGGCTGCAAAATCTAAGAAACAGTCCAAGCAATCATTTGAGAGAGAGTTCGAAGAAATGCAAGAAAAGTTTCAACAGTTAAAGCTTGAGAAGGAACAAACTGAGGAGCTCTTGAAGGCAAGAGATGAGTTGTTGAAACTGAAGGAGGAAGATCTCGAAGCCCGGGGAAAAGAGCAAGAGAAGCTTCAGATGGAGCTCAAGAAGTTGCAGAAAATGAAGGAGTTCAAACCCACCATGGTCTGTTTTCTTGACCTTCCCTTTTATGCTCCCTTGTGCTCTGTTCGGTTACTGATTTTTTGAAAATAACAGTCGGACATTGAAATTAACTCATTGTCGACTCATTTGAGTTTATTTTATTCTCAGACATTTACACAGAAACCAGGCAAATGGGCTGATGTTTCTTTATTTCTTGTTCTAGGGTTTTGAGTCTTCCTTAATCTATTTATGTTTCTTCAGATCTTCCCTGTTCAGTCTCTGAAAGACAAAGAGCAAGACAAGAAAGAGAAGAAGAAGAAGGGATGCCCTGAGAAGAAAAGGCCATCTCCACCTTATGTGCTGTGGTGCAAAGACCAATGGAATGAGGTAGCAATACACAATCAAGGGTTTCTGAGACTGAAATGTTTGGATTTGTGTTTGACTCTTGAGTCTTGAAAGTTTTTTGGGTTATGATCTTTCAGGTCAAGAAAGCAAACCCAGATGCTGAGTTCAAGGAAATATCCAATATTTTGGGGGTGAAATGGAAGACAGTTGGTGCAGAAGAGAAGAAACCTTATGAGGAAAGGTATCGAGCTGAGAAGGAAGTTTATTTGAAGATCATTGGGAAAGAGAAGCGTGAGAATGAAGCAATGAGGCTCTTGGAGGAAGATCAGAAACAGAGGACAGCCATGGAGTTGCTTGAACAATATATTCAATTCAAACAGGAAGCTGAAAAAGAACACAAGAAAAAGTAAACTCCAAATAAGCTCTCTCTCTCTCTCTCTCTCCCCCTCCACATTCCTCTAACTGAACTTTTGAGTCATTTTTGTTCACAGGAAGGAAAAGGATCCGTTGAAGCCCAAGCATCCAATGTCAGCATTTTTTCTGTTTACAAGCCATCGACGAGCAGCACTGCTTGCAGAGAATAAGAATATAATGGAGGTGATTAACGAGACCCATCTTCTGTTAATTAATACTTTGTCTATTTAGCAATCTTATTGTCAATTTACAATTGATTCTATTTGGCAGATCTCAAAGATTACAGGTGAAGAATGGAAGAACATGTCCGAGAAACAGAAAGCGCCCTATGTGGAGGTTCAATTCATGTCTTCATCCACCTTTCCGTTGTCTTGAGATTAATTTGTTTTGAATTTTTTAGATGGCAAAGAAAAATAAGGAACAATATACGCAAGACATGGAGCTTTACAAGCAGAAGAAAGATGAAGAAGCTGTTAACCTCGGAAGGGAAGAGGAGGAACTGATGAAACTTCAGAAGCATGAAGCTCTCCAATTGCTCAAGAAAAAAGAGAAAACAGAAAACATAATCAAGGTTCGTTCTTACATTTGGTGACTTGGATTGTGGACGCCAATTGTTTGCCTTTGAGGTTTATGTTAAACAACCGTCTACTTTAAAAGCTTAAGTTGTTGGAGAGGGTGTAAATTAAGTATTTATACTTCAACAGTTTTTATGTCAACTAAATGAGTCATGTATGCTTGCTTGTTATGTGCAGAAAACAAAAGAGAATCGCCAGAAGAAGCAGCAGCAGAAGGAAGAGAAGAAGAATGCTGATCCTAACAAGCCAAAGAGGCCTGCATCTTCTTTCATCCTATTCAGGTCAGAAAGTTTAGAGTGTATTATATTAGGGTAATCCTATGGTACTGAAATAGGCATTACAGCCAAAAATTAAACTTTTTTGGGGCAGGTTATGACTAAATGAGGTCAAACTATGACAAAAAAAGTTAATATTGGTCTCAAACAAGTACTATGAGGGAAGGCTATCCTGATTGATTTCTGTTGTTTCGAATAGTCATGTGCGCTTCTGTAATGCAGCAAAGAAGCAAGAAAAAATTTGTTGGAAGAACGGCCTGGAATCAACAACAAAACTCTAAATGCCCTCATTTCACTGAAGTGGAAGGTATATAACTATCAGCTAACATATGGTGTGTAACCAGTAAATCAATGTGGGTTAATGTGAGAATTGATTTTTTGTAATGTATGGTTGTAGGAATTGAGTGAGCAAGATAGAACAGTTTGGAATGAAAAAGCTGCAGAAGCCATGGAGGTTTACAAGAAGGAACTTGAAGAATACAATAAATGTGTGTCAGAGGTGTCAAACAAACCACAACAGTGAAAGCCTTAGAAACTATGTTGATGTTCAAGTGGTTCTGTTGAACAACTAGCTGTGTCTCATCATCAGTTTAGTGGCCTGGATTTTCATATTTGTTGGACTTAGTTGGCTTTGAGTTGTTCTTGGTGAACTAACTTTTCTTATTTAGTTTTTATTTGAATTAGATCCTGTAGTTGTGACTCTGAGAAACTGAATAATAGATTCTGAGTCAACTGACTTGTTTATTGATTTTGGGTGTATATTTAACGGAGACATTGCAATTTTGCAACTTCAAATGGCACCAGACAGAAATTCCTTAGAGTAACTTACATCAGCTCTTTGCATTGTACTTGGAGAAATCTGGGTAACAATTTTTTTTTTGACAAAAAACAAGGAGGGAGAGGGCGATATGTAAGTAGTAATCCCGAGAGTTACTGTGAGGAATTGAGTGGAATGTCCGATTTGAGTCATAATTACTAATTTGAAAGGATAGTCTATCACCATATCATCACTAAAGTCAAGCAATAAATCACATTGCTCTGGTGATCGAACCTGCTTGATAACCCATATGAGATTTATAAATGATCTTAAACGGGTACGACTTACTAATAGACAACCAACCAGTAAATTTATAGGACATGGAATGAGAAAAGAGAGGTGAAAAAAGGAACAAAACTAGGGAAGGAGAAAAGGGGAGAGTCAACTGAGTTTTTTTCTCCTTTGATTCTACCAAAGGAGAGGGGGGAAGTTTGCAAAGAAAATGTCAAGCTGGATGCAAAATGTTTTTAATCAAATAACAAATAATAATCCAATGAAGGGGGACTACATAGAATACAGAAAAAATGCGGGGTTAGATTTGCAATTATTATAAATTAAATAAGAATAAAGTCAACGCGTCGCCGTTGCCTTTTTCATCTTCAATTTTGATCTGTTCATCGTCAATGCTAGAAGAGTCATCTTCATCTGTTAAGAAAGCTCTTGCCATGTAGGGCTCATGGCCAAAAGAAGCACAAGGAATTGGAAGTAGAAGTAGTGTAGGAATCGATGACGGGACAAGAAGATGTTTCTTTGATGGAGGCAGGTCAGGATCTCTCTATGTTCTTTTCTCTTCTTTCCCAATCTTTATTGAAACAGGAGCCTTCAAGGTATGGGTTTTTTTTCTTTCTGTAAATCTAATCACATTTTCTACGTTTAGCAAAATACGGTAAGAAAAAATTGACGACGTTAGCAACAAGTAGAATCTATATCTCTATATTCAAGGGATTCTTGTGGGTTTTTTCTTCACAATTTCTACATTATAATTTGAATTTCTGAAGTTAGTCAAAAGATCTTCAAATGTTTTTATTCTGTATTGCAATCCACACACACTGCAGTTAATCAACTGAAGTATTCATAGAAAGCATTATGCTAGTCTAGCACTCAATGATGCCTTGCTCTGAGATTTTATTAATACGAAAAAGGTTCATGGATTAGATTCCAATCCTATCATGTGTGTGATGGGATAATTACTTGGCCTGACATTACCCCAAATTTTTTTAGTCCAAGTCAATCACAACTTGGTTGGAAGTGAGTCCTTTTCCATTACCCAAAAAAATCAAAAAAAGAATCTTTTTTAAAATTTAGTTTTTTCAATAATTTTTTACCAATTGTTAAAAAAGATAATTACTTAATTACATTCCCATTAAGAAAAAGATTAAGAAGGTTGAATCGAATATAGATCTAATCATCAACGTTTTTTGTACAAAGTGATTACTTTTAAATTTAGAGCCATACTCTTAGGATTTGTTGCTTTTAATTTTGGAGTTTGAATGTTAGGATTTTATGCCGTACTTTTTTCTAATACTGGTCTCTTGCACCGCACACATCGTTCATAGTCAACAACTCTTTCTATTCATATTGAAATATAATAGATCAATATTTTAGTTTTTATCAAACTATCTATCAAAAGAAGCGTAATGATATAAAACTCAAATTTACTCAGTATAAAATAAAATTTATTTTTATTTTTACAATTATAAATTAATTATGTCTCCCTATTAGATCATCAAATTATTAATAAATAACATTTTTTAAAAAAAAAAAACCAGACGATCCCAACTCAGGAACTAGGAGAAGAAAAGAGCACATGGTATCAATCTATTTGTTTTTAGTTTGGTCCCAGTAGCATTGCTTTATCAGTTAATGGGCACCACATAGCCAATTTCCCACACCACCAAACTGAGGTTGTTTGTGTCACTTTAGCATATATATTAGGGATACTTTTGTCTTTAGCCATCCGCATTCAATGACGAAACCATCCCTGAGTTAGTTGGACTCCGTCAACNGGCCTGACATTACCCCAAATTTTTTTAGTCCAAGTCAATCACAACTTGGTTGGAAGTGAGTCCTTTTCCACTACCCAAAAAAATCAAAAAAAGAATCTTTTTTAAAATTTAGTTTTTTCAATAATTTTTTACCAATTGTTAAAAAAGATAATTACTTAATTACATTCCCATTAAGAAAAAGATTAAGAAGGTTGAATCGAATATAGATCTAATCATCAACGTTTTTTGTACAAAGTGATTACTTTTAAATTTAGAGCCATACTCTTAGGATTTGTTGCTTTTAATTTTGGAGATTGAATGTTAGGATTTTATGCCGTACTTTTTTCTAATACTAGTCTCTTGCACCGCACACATCGTTCATAGTCAACAACTCTTTCTATTCATATTGAAATATAATAGATCAGTATTTTAGTTTTTATCAAACTATCTATCAAAAGAAGCGCAATGATATAAAACTCAAATTTACTCGGTATAAAATAAAATATATTTTTATTTTTACAATTATAAATTAATTATGTCTCCCTATTAGATCATCAAATTATTAATAAATAACATTTTAAAAAAAAAAAAAACCAGACGATCCCAACTCAGGAACTAGGAGAAGAAAAGAGCACATGGTATCAATCTATTTGTTTTTAGTATGGTCCCAGTAGCATTGCTTTATCAGTTAATGGGCACCACATAGCCAATTTCCCACACCACCAAACTGAGGTTGTTTTTGTCACTTTAGCATATATATTAGGGATACTTTCGTCTTTAGCCATCCGCATTCAATGACGAAACCATCCCTGAGTTAGTTGGACTCCGTCAACACTAGAGCAGCATATCAGCTCGTTGTTAGTTATCTTCAAGGCTACACTCGTAAATTTGGTCTGTAAAAATTGTTCTCCCACGAGCCATCTCCTTCACTTTATATATTATAAGTCTTATTATTCTCTTAGCAGGCCTTTAAATCCATTGGCTTTCTAGTTCTATAAACTACTGTAAAAACAAATCAAATCCTCTACATCTGCATATAGTAATAGTCATATAGATTTATATGCATATATTCCCACGTCGTTTATCTCTCTGCGGCAAGGCCTCCCTGTGAACGACATAGCTTGGTTTCGACGCCCATAGTTCTATACACACCCTCCATTAAAGTTCTGTCTCTCTCTTTCTCATAAGCTCAAGCTTTTCTAACTTGGTTAAATGGCAGAGCGTCCTCAAAATGATCCATTTTCGGACAACCGTCGGGAAGAAGATGCTGGTGCAGTCTTTGTGCTTGAATCAAAAGGTGACGATCCTACCCTCCTCCGACTTCGTCTTTATTTATTTATTTTTGTACGTGGTACTGTATTGAACTCATTCTCACAAAGTAAATTCTGAATGTCTACAAGAACCCGTTAACGTTAACTGCAGGTATGAGTTAAGTCTGGAAGTAACCAACGAAAACCGAACGGTCTTTATTTACTTGCATGTTTGATCATATTGTGGTGATTATTAACAAAGAAAATTAATTACCCCAAAAATAGGTGAATGGTGGCATGCGGGGTTCCATCTGACGACGGCGATAGTGGGGCCGACAATACTGACGCTGCCGTATGCGTTCAGGGGGTTGGGATGGGGACTAGGGTTCTTGTGCTTAACGGTGATGGGTGCAGTCACTTTCTACGCTTACTATCTCATGTCCCTGGTGCTGGAGCACTGTGAGAAGTCTGGTCGCCGCCACATCCGATTCCGAGAGCTCGCGGCTGACGTTTTAGGTAAGCACTTTCCCACAACTATAAATGTTGCGGGTCTTTCTCACACTATTTTGTGTCATCATCCGATGTGGGATTGAAGAGTTGGTTCCTTACTTTAATCAATACTAGATAGTGTGGTTGTAGCCTTGTTGCCCTGTTTTGGTTGCTTGACATGAAAATCAATGCATCTTATTTCATAAAAAAAGGTATTTATGTATGCATTACTATGGATGGGACTAAATTTGAAGGAATAAAACAATGTTAGAAAGAAAAACAAAATAAAAACAAATGGCATTTAGCAAAATTATTTTAAAAAAAGTAAAAGAAACAAAGAAGTACTAAAAAATTGTTCATATGGTACCTGATTCTTCCTTTAGCTTTTTTGCTTAAAATGAAATGAGAAAGTAGAAATTAACTAGAATTGATGGCGGAATCACGTGGTAATGTAATTCTTACTATGAAAACATTTATTAAGGAGAAAAAAACATCCTAATAACATGTCCGGCCCAACAGTATGGAAAAAAAAAGTATGGGCTTTAAGCCCAAATTTTTAGAAAATCCCATAATTTTAGATATATCATTAGCCTACAAAAAAAATTAAATCCATTAAATTTTAAGTCTTACAAAAAAGTCCCAAAAAATTAAATTCTATCTAAATTTTTATTGCAATGATTTGGGTCTATAATTCAATTTATAACATTAAAAATTTAGAAATTAAAAAAATAAAAAAAATACTCAAAACTCAACTCATATTTACTCCCACCTCTCTCTCTCCACCTCTCTCTCTCTTTCTCTCTCAGGTAAGGAAAAAATAAAAAACAAAAATAAAAATAAAAGTTAAAATTAAATACTCTATCTTGTAAAAAGTAAAAACAAAGGTTGAAATATCTTTTTTGACAATATTAACACATCATTCTTTTGTCTCTTTCTCACATAGAAAATTAAAAATAAATTAATTTTTTTAAAAAAATAATATTAAAAATAAAAAGACTTTCGTTTAATGTTTTCACTTTAGGCCTCAAATTGGCTTGAGCCGCCCTGNAAGAACCCGTTAACGTTAACTGCAGGTATGAGTTAAGTCTGGAAGTAACCAACGAAAACCGAACGGTCTTTATTTACTTGCATGTTTGATCATATTGTGGTGATTATTAACAAAGAAAATTAATTACCCCAAAAATAGGTGAATGGTGGCATGCGGGGTTCCATCTGACGACGGCGATAGTGGGGCCGACAATACTGACGCTGCCGTATGCGTTCAGGGGGTTGGGATGGGGACTAGGGTTCTTGTGCTTAACGGTGATGGGTGCAGTCACTTTCTACGCTTACTATCTCATGTCCCTGGTGCTGGAGCACTGTGAGAAGTCTGGTCGCCGCCACATCCGATTCCGAGAGCTCGCGGCTGACGTTTTAGGTAAGCACTTTCCCACAACTATAAATGTTGCGGGTCTTTCTCACACTATTTTGTGTCATCATCCGATGTGGGATTGAAGAGTTGGTTCCTTACTTTAATCAATACTAGATAGTGTGGTTGTAGCCTTGTTGCCCTGTTTTGGTTGCTTGACATGAAAATCAATGCATCTTATTTCATAAAAAAAGGTATTTATGTATGCATTACTATGGATGGGACTAAATTTGAAGGAATAAAACAATGTTAGAAAGAAAAACAAAATAAAAACAAATGGCATTTAGCAAAATTATTTTAAAAAAAGTAAAAGAAACAAAGAAGTACTAAAAAATTGTTCATATGGTACCTGATTCTTCCTTTAGCTTTTTTGCTTAAAATGAAATGAGAAAGTAGAAATTAACTAGAATTGATGGCGGAATCACGTGGTAATGTAATTCTTACTATGAAAACATTTATTAAGGAGAAAAAAACATCCTAATAACATGTCCGGCCCAACAGTATGGAAAAAAAAAGTATGGGTTTTAAGCCCAAATTTTTAAAAAATCCCATAATTTTAGATATATCATTAGCCTATAAAAAAAATTAAATTCATTAAATTTTAAGTCTTACAACAAAGTCCCAAAAAATTAAATTCTATCTAAATTTTTATTGCAATAATTTGGGCCTATAATTCAATTCATAACATTAAAAATTTAGAAATTAAAAAAATAAAAAAAATACTCAAAACTCCACTCATATTTACTCCCACCTCTCTCTCTCTTTCTCTCTCTAGTAAGGAAAAAATAAAAAACAAAAACAAAAATAAAAGTTAAAATTAAATACTCTATCTCGTAAAAAGTAAAAACAAAGGTTGAAATATCTTTTTTGACAATATTAACACATCTTTCTTTTGTCTCTTTCTCACATAGAAAATTAAAAATAAATTAATTTTTTTAAAAAAATAATATTAAAAATAAAAAGACTTTCATTTAATGTTTTCACTTTAGGCCTCAAACTGACTTGAGCCGCCCTCCCTAATAAACCTTATCTCTTCTTGTCCACAGTCGTGTAATTTCCATTTTCATTCAGTTAACTATTACTTTTTTAGAGGTGAAGCACTTGTGTGATTGGGTTGGGTCTTCCTCAGTCCAATTNGCTTGAGCCGCCCTGCCTAATAAACCTTATCTCTTCTTGTCCACAGTCGTGTAATTTCCATTTTCATTCAGTTAACTATTACTTTTTTAGAGGTGAAGCACTTGTGTGATTGGGTTGGGTCTTCCTCAGTCCAATTTTATCAGGTTCATGCTGCTCCTTGTCATGTATATTAAAAGGCTGGACTGCACAAAGTTGATGATAAAGTCTCGATTACTTTGCAAAGCTGCCAGCTTGTGTGTGTGTGTTTCGTACGCAAAAATGTGGCAATTGTGGACTTGATTATCGAGTTCAAAGTTCAAAGTTCAATAGAGATCTAATTAGTAAGTGTAATTCTAACATCCTATTGCTCTCGAAGTGAATGTATTCACGACATACAAGTGTAGGCTGATTAGTTAAAATTTGAAGGGTACGTAGCATCCAGTTAGAAGCAACTCATTATGCTATCACTTCTGAAAGTTCTTCTAGTTCGGCTCTATCATCTACAAGCTTTCTAGTTCAACAAATAGATTATGAAACAAATATGATTAAAGTGTATGCTTTTGATTTATTTTAGGAACTGGGTGGATGTTCAATTTCGTAATATTCATTTAAACTGCCAAAATCACATTTGTGCTTTTGATTTATTATAGGGTCTGGTTGGATGTTCTATTTTGTAATATTCATTCAAACTGCCATCAACACTGGGATTGGGATTGGAGCAATTTTGCTTGCAGGAGAATGCCTTCAGGTATAGTTACCTAAAATGAGTCTAATGGTAACATGTGCACTGTGCACATTGCCAATGCTTAGACAGATACTTAAATTGCCTGTACAAGTTATATCAGTCCAATCTTTTGCTTGAGCTTTTCTGGATATAGTAGAGCCAACATTGGTCTTCTTTGAGGTTTATGTTTGATTTTCTCCATGGCTTAGCTAGGCATCACAAAGTGCCGTCATGGACTAGTTGCTCACTGTAAAGCCACTACTAACCTCTAAAAGCTAGAGCTTAAGATGATAGAGCCTCTCTTTGGATGGTCCATTCACATGATTCCATTTTGTAGCAAGGGAGGTGGTGTTGGTGTGGTTTGAACTTCAGTTCGGAAAGCTCTAATACCATGTTAAACCATTACTGTTTGCTATACATGCAATTCTGATTTAATTGTTTTAAGGGTAGATGAATTCTGATAATAATATTGATAAGGTATTGGTTTCTTAATAAACATTAATGAGCATAAAATTGACTAGTTCATATTATTCTGAAGAGTGTTAAGGAAGGCGGATCATAAGAGTAATAAACAATGTAATCAAGGTAATTGTATTTCGTTACTGTACAGCTTCTAATGATTCTGAATTTTTTTTTCTTCTCTTTTTCGCCTGTTGAAGATCATGTACTCAAACCTGTCTCCCAGTGGATCCTTGAAATTGTATGACTTCATAGCAATGGTGACAGCAGTTATGATAGTTCTATCTCAACTTCCAACCTTCCACTCCCTCAGGCACATCAACCTGGGGTCGCTTCTTCTCAGCTTGGGCTACACTTTGCTTGTGGTTGGCGCTTGTATCCATGCAGGTAAACCTGGTTTTCATTGTTCACTGATGCCAAATATCCATGTTTTTTCTCATGTGTGATGAGGGGGAATGCATTCCAATTACTAATCAAGAGAAAACAAGTGCTTGACATAGTTGGCAACATTCCTTTCTCCCCAAATGAGCATGAATTTGCTTGAGTTATGGCTAATTTTAAGTTGACCTCCTGCTCATCTCTGGATCTGTTATTTATTATGGTATTTGGCATGTTTCTGTTTCATTGTTCTTTTATGTTCGACATACATTCTGCATATCACTTGCTTCCATTTAGTTCCTTCTGCTCCTAAAACTGGTGGGTTTGCTGTGGCACCAAAACTTGCTGGATTCCTCGGAAGAACTGTCCAAACATGAGTATTCTCCAAACTAGGCCGAAGACGTTCTTCACAATTGTAGGTTGAAAACAATACTAAACCAGACAGGCTTGTGAAAACCTATGCAAAATGTATAAAGCACAGTAACTGCTTGGCTCTGAGCTTGTGGTTGTTAGTTACAGTAAAGTGGTATATAACTCTTGGCCTTAGCGTAGCATGAGCAAAAAGAAGCTTTCAATTTTGCTATCTTCATTAGGTTTTGTTGATAATTTCCTTTAAATTCCTAATGCATATAACCACTTGTAACCTTCAAGTTCCTCGAAAATTAACTGCATTCACAATTCAAAGTTAAAAGATAGTAATTTGTAGTCCATGTATACAATGTTTTCTTGTATGATTAGGGTTAACTTCAGTATGCAACTTAAAGTACATTGTCCTGTTTGTAGTGGTCATAATGATTCCAATTTCTACAGGTACCTCAAAAAATGCACCTCCAAGGGACTATTCTTTAGAAACTTCAGAGTTATCAAGAACTTTTAGCGCCTTTACTTCCATCTCCATAATAGCTGCCATTTTTGGGAATGGAATACTACCTGAAATTCAAGTAAATTCATTCAACTAATTGCTGTAACTATGCTGTTTTTAAATTTGATAATTATTAGCATGTTAGATGATGTGAGAACCAATGCTACGGGCAACTCTGCCTCCACCAGCCACCAGAAAGTGGAAATTACGCTTTTTGGATGTTCACAGATTACTCACGAAACTAATTTTTGTAATGCATACATATAAATGATATGAAATGCTGCCATGTTAATGTATACAGGCAACTCTGGCTCCACCAGCCACCGGAAAGATGGTGAAAGGCCTCATGATGTGTTACACTGTAATTTTTGTTACTTTCTATTCCGCTGCAGTATCTGGATACTGGGTGTTTGGGAACAAGTCTAATTCAAACATTCTCAAGAGCCTAATGCCAGATGATGGACCTTCTTTGGCTCCAACATGGGTTTTAGGTCTTGCAATAGTCTTCATTCTTCTTCAGCTATTTGCCATTGGCCTGGTAATTTCATACATTTGCCCGTAATAATAGTTCTAATTCCCAAATTGTTGTCTCATACACCCCTAAAAAAAGTTTAAAGGGTCAATCCATTTTCATTTTAATATTCTTCTTCAAATTTGTAATAGAAAATTTTTGCTGATCTTTTCCAAATACGACGCAGGTTTATTCTCAAGTAGCTTATGAGATTATGGAAACGAAATCAGCTGATGTGAACCAAGGGATATTCTCCAAGAGAAATCTAATTCCAAGGATAATTCTACGAACGCTGTATGTGATATTCTGCGGATTTTTTGCAGCAATGCTACCATTCTTTGGAGACATTAATGCAGTAGTAGGAGCTATTGGTTTCATCCCTTTAGATTTTGTCCTCCCAATGCTTCTCTACAACATGACTTATAAGCCTCCACGATCATCGCTCACCTATTGGATCAACTACTCTATCATTATCATCTTTACAGGTGCAGGCCTTCTGGGTTCATTCTCTTCTATAAGGAAGTTGGTTCTCNTACAACATGACTTATAAGCCTCCACGATCATCGCTCACCTATTGGATCAACTACTCTGTCATTATCATCTTTACAGGTGCAGGCCTTCTGGGTTCATTCTCTTCTATAAGGAAGTTGGTTCTCGACGCTAATAAGTTCAAGCTCTTCAGCAGTGATGTAGTTGATTGACTTCACAGATTTACAATACAACAATCTTACACTCAAATGTGCACGAATTAGTTCCTTTTAAGCACACGAAAGCCTTAAAACAACTCACATTACACTTCTTTATCTGCCATCTAGTGTAGTTAAACAAATGGGGATGTTTTGAACTCGCTGTACCAGTATTGTCTAAACTTTATTGTATACAGTGTCCCAACATTATTGTCGCGTTATTTCTGCATCTTCTTTTTGCCTTTCCTCTATTAGATCATGTAGACTTAAAGGTTCAATACTGGAAATGGATCAATGAAACATTTGATCATGTAGACATTGTTTTTTTTTTTTTTCTCATTGAAATAGGGGACCAAAAAACCGATTCTAGAGTTGTTTTTATTATTCCAGCGAAACCCTTGTTTATTAAGATCATCAAAACAGTATAGTGCTATACCACATTCTGTGGTTTTTTCCCTGCTGTTTCACTACTAAAACTCCTGAATCAGCAGAAGTTGTGCATATCATATGGAAATCTTATTAGTCCAAGAGACTTGTTCTGAAATGTTTGAGAAAAAAGTATGGGAGAACTTGAATTCCTTTTTTCTCTCTAGATGACGTGGGCAATAACGAGGGGAAAAAAAAAAGAGAATGGATTTTAGGGGTAATAGAATTCAAATTCGGGCCAATGACTGCTGTACTTATCCACAGGCCCGTGGGAGTTGATGGCACGCCAACTCAAATTGGACTCAAACAAAGACTCCTAATAAAACGATTTTGATAATTTTTTTCCCCAAATATGATAAATCCCTTTTTATTTATGGTCAAAGGTGTCTAAATCAATTTATGTATATCTCGACTAATCCTTTTTAAAACTGTCAAGTTATCCATGTTATAAAGAGCAGCTAAAATTCGAATGTTTGAATTTATAACTCATTTTTATTATCTTTTGGAATCACCAAATAGGGTAGTCTAGTGGGGTACCGGTCTTACTCCTCACTTTGAAGTTGAGAGTTTGAGTTTTGGAGTTTCCATTGGAGCTTGTTGGTTGGCCGTTATGCTAGCCTAGCTAGGTCTGGTCCCGAGAGGTGTTCCAAGCGCCGTCAGGGGCCTCATGATCCCACTAATAAGGGCCTATCAGGGTGGTCGCTGGGCACTCTTCTTTGCCCCCACCCCTTTTTTTATTTATCACAAAAGAAAAAAAGAATTATCCTTTGGAGTTATTTATTTATTTATTTTTTCAGAATAGGAAAGTGCATTGTGGTACTCAAAAAAATAAAAATAAATTTTTTTGAGCTTGTGAATCATCAAATTCTTAAGAGAGATAGACCATGTCCGAATAAAAAATATGTACACTAGAACATTTATTAAAAATTATTTATCAAATGAATATGAATAATTAGATTAGTGAGTTTTGCTAAAAAAACAATGGAAACCATGAACTAATAATTCACATTAATTTAATAAGAAAAATTAGACAATTCTTTTTAGTAAGTATGGAAATGTTCTTTAAATAAGTTTATACTTGGGTCTTAATTTNGGGAAAAAAAAAAGAGAATGGATTTTAGGGGTAATAGAATTCAAATTCGGGCCAATGACTGCTGTACTTATCCACAGGCCCGTGGGAGTTGATGGCACGCCAACTCAAATTGGACTCAAACAAAGACTCCTAATAAAACGATTTTGATAATTTTTTTCTCCGAATATGATAAATCCCTTTTTACTTATGATCAAAGGTGTCTAAATCAATTTATGTATACCTCGACTAATCCCTTTTAAGACTGTCAAGTAATCCATGTCATAAAGAGCAGTTAAAATTCAAATGTCTGAATTTATAACTCATTTTTATTATCCTTTGGAATCACCAAATAGGGTAGTCTAGTGGGGTACCGGTCTTACTCCTCACTTTGAAGTTGAGAGTTTGAGTTTTGGAGTTTCCATTGGAGCTTGCTGGTTGGCCGTTATGCTAGCCTAGCTAGGTCTGGTTCCGAGAGGTGTTCCAAGCGCGGTCAGGGACCTCATGATCCCACTGATGAGGGCCTATCGGGGTGGTCGCTGGGCACTCTTCTTTGCCCCCACCCCTTTTTTTATTTATCACAACAAAAAAAAAAGAATTATCCTTTGGAGTTATTTATTTATTTTTTCAGAATAGGAAACTGCATTGTGGTACTCAAAAAAATAAAAATAAATTTTTTTGGGCTTGTGAATCATCAAATTCTTAAGAGAGATAGACCATGTCTGAATAAAAAATATGTACACTAGAACATTTATTAAAAATTATTTATCAAATGAATATGAATAATTAGATTAGTGAGTTTTGCTAAAAAATCAATGGAAACCATGAACTAATAATTCACATTGATTTAATAAGAAAAATTAGACAATTCTTTTTAGTAAGTATGGAAATGTTCTTTAAATAAGTTTATACTTGGGTCTTAATTATGCAATTGCCAATTTTAGGCCTTCTTTCTATTTTCTTTTCTTTTCTTTCTGTCTTTCTTTCTTTACGTTCTTTCATTTCTTTGGTGGAAAAATGCATACGGAAAATAAAGTGTCTTTTGTGTGGGAATTAAGATAGAAAAAATCGAAAACCCAGAAGAGAAATTATAGCTATACATTCTGTAACGTTTGTGTGTATATATATTCCTTCCCTCTCGCAGCAGGAAACCTAGTTCTCATAACCTGGTAGTGTTATTGTATTGCCTCTGCACAATACAGAAAACATGGCGAGGAGAAAAGGCATGGGCCGTTCAAAGGTAGTCCTCAAGAGAATAGAGAACAAAAACAGTAGACAAACCACTTTCTCCAAGCGCCGTACTGGGCTCTTCAAGAAGGCCAACGAGCTCTGTGAGAGGTGTGGTGCACAGGCCGCAGTTATCACCTTCTCCATGGCTGGCAACCTCTACGCCTCCGGCCACCCTAACGTCGACGCCGTCATCGATCAATACCTTGCCAGGACTTCATCCGACGAAGTTGAGGAGAAGTACGCGGAGGCTTTGGCGAAATTGGAAGCCGAAAAGAAGAGAGATAAGATATTGGACAGGGCAGTGGAGAAGATCGGAGGTGGGTCTTTGTTGGATGCGCCGATTGAGGCTTTCGAGATTCAAGAACTTGAAGAAATTATAGCCATCATTGAGGAGATGATGAACAACGTTGTGGTTCGAGACAATGACGAGAGAGAAAATCCATCTGAACCTGACGATCCCTGTGATGTTCTTTCTTTAGACCTTAGCTTGGCTCTTAATACCTTACATTATTGAGTTTAGGTTATTTGTCTTTTTAATATGGATCAGTGGAACAGAACAGATATAGTTTCTTTTTTCTTTATTAGATAACGCAATTCCCATTGGTGGCCCATATGTGTAAATTCTCTCAAAATTAGGATTACAGGTCTATTAGTTCTTGAATTTTATAATTTCTTTTTTAGTTTTTCTGTAGACAGCAATTATCTTTACTGGCCCATGTATCAATTCTCTGGAAATTACGAATACACGTCCATTAGTTCTTGAATTTTAGCTTTCATTGCTTTCTGACTGTGTCATAGCATTGAATGTATTGTCCAGACAAGAGATTGAACATACATTCTTGTCAATTGCCTCTTCAAGTCTACAACTTGTGGGAGAGAAAGAACCTTACTTAATGATGATTGATTCTTCTTCACAGCTTTTTGCTATCTTTGTAGTTGTCACCATATCCAATTCAGCCCCGAACTCACTTTTTGGGGTTGTTTGGTAAGTGAGATTTTTTTTTTGGGGTTTTGAAAAATGGGTTGAGAAAAAATAGTTCACATGACCCACAAAATTCATGTTTGGCCAAAAATTTAAATTCTGGGTTACCCAATCCGGCCCGCTATTCGCCCGGACCTTAAACCCTAGATGATGGGTTTCATCAAACTCATGGGGGGTGGGTTTCGGATGAGGGTTAACGGATTCAAGATACAAAAAGATAATTATACTCCATACGTATACAAACATGAGTTTAGATTAGATTGGTGAAAAAGTACAATAGTCATATATATACAAATATATTATCATACTAGTGATATATCAATGGGCATACCAAACATGGGTATAAGTTAAATTTAATGTTGAATTCCATCTTTGTAAAGAGGGGTTTGAGTTTGAAAGAGTTTTGCCAAGCCGGCCCAAACTCCTCCCAAAAAACCATCCAAACAGCCTTGGGGGTTTTGTTCTTATTTGCCCTTTTGGGTGTTCTTTTGGCTAAGTTGCCTTTGTGGGTGTTACCAGTGAGTTTCTTTGAAAATCTGCCTTTTTTTTNAAAATGCATACGGAAAATAAAGTGTCTTTTGTGTGGGAATTAAGATAGAAAAAATCGAAAACCCAGAAGAGAAATTATAGCTATACATTCTGTAACGTTTGTGTGTATATATATTCCTTCCCTCTCGCAGCAGGAAACCTAGTTCTCATAACCTGGTAGTGTTATTGTATTGCCTCTGCACAATACAGAAAACATGGCGAGGAGAAAAGGCATGGGCCGTTCAAAGGTAGTCCTCAAGAGAATAGAGAACAAAAACAGTAGACAAACCACTTTCTCCAAGCGCCGTACTGGGCTCTTCAAGAAGGCCAACGAGCTCTGTGAGAGGTGTGGTGCACAGGCCGCAGTTATCACCTTCTCCATGGCTGGCAACCTCTACGCCTCCGGCCACCCTAACGTCGACGCCGTCATCGATCAATACCTTGCCAGGACTTCATCCGACGAAGTTGAGGAGAAGTACGCGGAGGCTTTGGCGAAATTGGAAGCCGAAAAGAAGAGAGATAAGATATTGGACAGGGCAGTGGAGAAGATCGGAGGTGGGTCTTTGTTGGATGCGCCGATTGAGGCTTTCGAGATTCAAGAACTTGAAGAAATTATAGCCATCATTGAGGAGATGATGAACAACGTTGTGGTTCGAGACAATGACAAGAGAGAAAATCCATCTGAACCTGACGATCCCTGCGATGTTCTTTCTTTAGACCTTAGCTTGGCTCTTAATACCTTACATTATTGAGTTTAGGTTATTTGTCTTTTTAATATGGATCAGTGGAACAGAACAGATATAGTTTCTTTTTTCTTTATTAGATAACGCAATTCCCATTGGTGGCCCATATGTGTAAATTCTCTCAAAATTAGGATTACAGGTCTATTAGTTCTTGAATTTTATAATTTCTTTTTTAGTTTTTCTGTAGACAGCAATTATCTTTACTGGCCCATGTATCAATTCTCTGGAAATTACGAATACACGTCCATTAGTTCTTGAATTTCAGCTTTCATTGCTTTCTGACTGTGTCATAGCATTGAATGTATTGTCCAGACAAGAGATTGAACATACATTCTTGTCAATTGCCTCTTCAAGTCTACAACTTGTGGGAGAGAAAGAACCTTACTTAATGATGATTGATTCTTCTTCACAGCTTTTTGCTATCTTTGTAGTTGTCACCATATCCAATTCAGCCCCGAACTCACTTTTTGGGGTTGTTTGGTAAGTGAGATTTTTTTTTTGGGGTTTTGAAAAATGGGTTGAGAAAAAATAGTTCACATGACCCACAAAATTCATGTTTGGCCAAAAATTTAAATTCTGGGTTACCCAATCCGGCCCGCTATTCGCCCGGACCTTAAACCCTAGATGATGGGTTTCATCAAACTCATGGGGGGTGGGTTTCGAATGAGGGTTAACGGCTTCAAGATACAAAAAGATAATTATACTCTATACGTATATAAACATGAGTTTAGATTAGATTGGTGAAAAAACACAATAGTCATATATATACAAATATATTATCATACTAGTGATATATCAATGGGCATACCAAACATGGTTATAAGTTAAATTTAATGTTGAATTCCATCTTTGTAAAGAGGGGTTTGAGTTTGAAAGAGTTTTGCCAAGCCTGCCCAAACTCCTCCCAAAAAACCATCCAAACAGCCTTGGGGGTTTTGTTCTTATTTGTCCTTATGGGTGTTCTTTTGGCTAAGTTGCCTTTGTGGGTGTTACCAGTGAGTTTCTTTGAAAATCTGCCTTTTTTCCTCCAATTGTATTTTGCACACGTGGGTTTCTAGTGTTTGTTGGATTTGATCAAGAATAAAGTTGCAATTGGCAGGAGGAATTAGATTCTTCTCTGTTTTGTACTTCAGCCTCAACCCTTTCCCTATTACAAATTGTTTTTTGATGGAAACTTTCACTCAATCCCCTATAATTATAAAACCTTAAAAGAATTTCTTAATCTGGAAGTGGTATCGTATTTGCTTAAGGTCTTTGAATAACAATAATGTTTCTTGTGCTTGTGTTGATAAAGTTNAAAAAAAAAAAAAAAAAAACTATGACATATCCTAGAGTGGACACAAGTTCAAGCGTTCCAAGTGGCAGAGAAACAGAAGACAAATTGAATGGGAAAGACCCAGAAGTGTAAAGATGTTTGGGATTGGATGGATTGAGAATTGATATAGCTGAAAGTTTGGTTTTACTAGTCTTAAGCAAGTGAATTCAGATGGAAAAAGGGAGTGAGCTAAGCTGAGAGTGAAGCATCTGAATTTAAAGGAAGCCTTTCCGGATTGATTGAGAATAAAGTTGTGGAAAATGAAAAGCGAGTGAGACTCTGAGAGAGAGTATAAGTTTGACTGAGAAACCGAGTTTTTCTGCGGAGACTGGTCTTTGGTCAGATGTTCTGGTGAGTGAGTATGGAGGTCCAAATGCTGACCATTTCAAACGCCCCCCCCCCCCACAAAAGCGTCTATCATAGATTCATAATATTGAGCATGTTTTAGATCTGATTTAAAAAACCTCATTTTCTTTAGTTTTAGAGGAAAAAAAGTCGGGTCTATTTGAACCCGGTTTTATTGAACGATTTTTGTATTAGTTTTTTTTGACAGAAATAGATTTTATCAGCATAAAAAATAATGTTTATCCAAAGATTTTGAAGGAAAAATCGATTTTAACACTTCAAAATATTCTAATTTTTTTTTAACTTTAACTTTTTTATTAAATTTTTCAAGCATTTATGTCGCACCCAAAAATTGGGCCATTATAGCGGAGAGAGAGGGAAAGGGAAGGGAAAGGGGAAGGGGGAATCATAGGCTGATCGATTCAAAACTCCAAATGGGTCCACCATAGTACGAGGAAATTCATATGCTGACCGATTCAAATCTCCAAATGGGTCTCTCTCTCTCTCTCTCTCTCTCTCTCTGATTTGTCATTTGTGACTTTCATAATTGGGATTAAGAAGAGAAAGCAAATAAAAAGTCAGACTTTGAGTTTTAGTGATCAGTAACACCCATGGAATCTTCGAGCTTAATTCCGCGTTGCTTGTTTGTCTCTACTGTTTTGCTGACTGTACTAATCGTCACCTACTGGAAGGTAAAAGATGGCGGACCGCTGACTAGTTGCCATAATGTCATTAACCCAGTGACATGTTTCCTTTCTCATAGGATATTTTTTTTATTTATTTTATCAGCTACACCCAGCGCGCGTATAGAACGATTACGTATTGAATTTTTTTTTTTTTTTTTATAGTAGATCCATAATTATAAAAGTGTTTGGGATTGTTTAAAAAAAAATGAAACAAAAGATACGATTAAGTTAACATAATTATTGTATAATCTCATACCCAATGCTAAATTCAGAGGCGCGTAACAAATCGATATAAATATCATGAATTGTCCGGTAATATAATCATTTGTTGTTGATGCCCTTCTTCGCTATTACTTCTTTCATAATTTGAGCTGGGAGAAGGAAACCATCCACTCAACTATCTTGCTTGCACTCTTGAGTAGACATAGGACAACTTGTCTATTCGCCTATAAATGATGATCTATTGCACTCAACTGGCACCACAGATGTTACACTCTCACCCCGGATCACATATAGTAGGTGGCGGACTGATTACCAAGACTTTAATCACTTGACAAAAATAAAAGTGATCCAATTCATCGACCTAATGAACACCAGAAGAATAAATTAAACATCACCAACATCATTATTAAACACATGTAAACAGAATAACTAAACCATAAGATTCACTACTCTAAACATGAGTAACATTATTTCCAAAAAAATTAAATATTTATCTCAAAATCATAAAATACATTTATTCTTGAAGACCTACAATAAAATAAATCTTCAATTCTTCTAATTCTTTGTCTATCCGAGAACTTACTCCTCCCTCTGATCCTTACCTAAAAAATATTAAATGTTTGGATGAGCACAAAGGCCCGTGAGTAACAACTACCTCTAATGAGGTGTGAAAATAAATCCCACATTTTATAGACAAAAATTAAATTTGTTATATACACCTAATCCAAAAATAACATATAACAATAAATCTCTATTCCTAATTTTGTCATTTTACGATTTTGTATTTATTTTTTTTATACTTTCTACTTATTGATATATACTGTCTAATACAAGGTAATAGGGTATGGAAATATTTCGGGCTATTTAGAATTTTTTTTTAAAATTTTGGGATTAAATCATAATTTTTGAAATTTTTGGGGTCAAAATATAATTTTTTTNTCCACTCAACTATCTTGCTTGCACTCTTGAGTAGACATAGGACAACTTGTCTATTCGCCTATAAACGATGATCTATTGCACTCAACTGGCACCACAGATGTTACACTCTCACCCCGGATCACATATAGTAGGTGGCGGACTGATTACCAAGACTTTAATCACTTGACAAAAATAAAAGTGATCCAATTCATCGACCTAATGAACACCAGAAGAATAAATTAAACATCACCAACATCATTATTAAACTCATGTAAACAGAATAACTAAGCCATAAGATTCACTCCTCTAAGCATGAGTAACATTATTTTCAAAAAAATTAAATATTTATCTCAAAATCATAAAATACATTTATTCCTGAAAACCTACAATAAAATAAATCTTCAATTATTCTAATTCTTTGTCTATCCGAGAACTTACTCCTCCCCCTGATCCTTACCTAAAAAATATTAAATGTTTGGATGAGCACAAAGGCCCGTGAGTAACAACTACCTCTAATGAGGTGTGAAAATAAATCCCACATTTTATAGACAAAAATTAAATTTGTTATATACACCTAATCCAAAAATAACATATAACAATCAATCTCTATTCCTAATTTTGTCATTTTACGATTTTGTATTTATTTTTTTTATACTTTCTACCTATTGATATATACTGTCTAATACAAGGTAATAGGGTATGGAAATATTTCGGGCTATTTAGAAAAAGTTTTTAAAATTTTGGGATTAAATCATAATTTTTGAAATTTTTGGGGTCAAAATATAATTTTTTAAAAAATAAATTTTATGTTTTCGGGCCTGCCATAAATTTTCCAAAAATAGTATTTAAGGTTCTAAAAACCCATTTTTCAAGAATACAATTTCAATTTGATTTATTAGAGTAATCATTGATTTTTAAACATTTAATCGAAACTTTTAGAGGTCGTTTCAAAATTTTAAAATTTTTCAAGACTAGGGGGCTATTTTGAAATGGCCATATTTGTTTCAAACATATTTGGTCAATTCTATAAATTACCAAGTTCCATGGCGGTCAAAATTGAGTTTATAAAAGTATAAGAATCAAAACAAATCTATTAAAAATTAAAGGGGACGTTTCCATAATTTCAGAATTTTTTTCTTCTTCGACCTTACGAATTCCAGATTCCATGCTCTCCGTTTTATTCTTTCTCCCCCTTTTTCTAATATCTTCTTAACACAAGTACTTACCATATTATATTTGAATTCACAANAGATTTTGAAGGAAAAATCGATTTTAACACTTCAAAATATTCTAATTTTTTTTTAACATTAACTTTTTTATTAAATTTTTCAAGCATTTATGTCGCACCCAAAAATTGGGCCATTATAGCGGAGAGAGAGGGAAAGGGGAAGGGGGAATCATAGGCTGACNCCATAATTTCAGAATTTTTTTCTTCTTCGACCTTACGAATTCCAGATTCCATGCTCTGTGTTTTCTTCTTTCTCCCCCTTTTTCTAATATCTTCTTAACACAAGTACTTACCATATTATATTTGAATTCACAAATTTCAACCCTATAAATTTACCTATGTGGATTACTTGCAAGATATAATAGGTGTACAAACTTATATATATGTACATATAATGATTAAATAAATAATTTAATTTCAATATAAAGACTAATCTTGACGATCAAATCTTCTAGTTTTCTTCCTTATTCTCTAAATCCCTTCCTTATTTCTCTTCCTTGTTCTGTACTTGAAACTCTAGCTTTTCCCTCATTNACTTATATATATGTACATATAATGATTAAATAAATAATTTAATTTCAATATAAAGACTAATCTTGACGATTAAATCTTCTAGTTTTCTTTCTTATTCTCTAAATCCCTTCCTTATTTCTCTTCCTTTTTCTGTACTTGAAACTCTAGTTTTTCCCTCATTTCTCTTATTCTAACGTGTGTAAGTATTACCATGGAAAAAGAATATATATATATATATATATNTTCTTCCTTATTCTCTAAATCCCTTCCTTATTTCTCTTCCTTGTTCTGTACTTGAAACTCTAGCTTTTCCCTCATTTTTCTTATTCTAACGTGTGTAAGTATTACCATGGAAAGAAAATATATATATATATATCAGTAGACGTCTAGGACAATAAGGGAACTCATTTAAGTATAAAGTGTAGGAGTCAACTATTCTTGATAATACTAAAATCCCCTTAGCAATAAAGAATTAATGTACAACCAATTTTACAATTTTAAAACTCTATCTAACTAAGTTTCTATAATTATTTAATATTTTTCCCTACACTAAAAACTAAATTATCTCCAATGATTTCCAAATCATATCCATAAACTNTAAGTATAAAGTGTAGGAGTCAACTATTCTTGATAATACTAAAATCCCCTTAGCAATAAAGAATTAATGTACAACCAATTCTACAATTCTAAAACTCTATCCAACTAAGTTTCTATAATTATTTAATATTTTTCCCTACACTAAAAACTGAATTATCTCCAATGATTTCCAAATCATATCCATAAACTAATAAGGATAGACTCCAAGTTAAACAAAAGTCTACAACTTTTCAAATTCAACTTATTCACTTTTATTTTTATTATTAATATTGTTATTCCATTTTTTTTTACCCTGGGTATTACAACACATCTCATCCTACACCTTTGAAATATGCAGACAGAGCAGTAGTATGTCGAAGATTAGATCAATCAGATCGTTGTAGTTTATCTGTAGCGTTGTTTTTTTTTTCTATTTGTGTTTTATTTTCAAACGATGCCCCTTTAAATCCAGTCAATTCTCCACATAATTGAGATGATTCTTCGCACTATTTTGATTGTCAATATAAAATTGGTCTTTTTCCCTCCTTTTCTTTTGTAAATTTTATAATTCCTAGTCATATTCCATCCAACTTTTTTGCTCTTAAATTTAATTCTAGCAATAGAGTTGAGATTTATTAAATACTCATAATTTATGTATACAAATAGTGTTTGTATTATCATCATCCAATCGAAAACACTTAATGGAAATGAACGTGATTTTTGTTATAAAAAAAAAGAAAAAAAAAGAAGATTATCTGCTATTAGAAAATTATTGAAGGCTTGGCCTTTTGTTTAACTTTCTGGTGGCTATCCACTAGCTCTGTAAGTAACCTTTAGACTCGGTCTTCTTGAACAGGGTATGTCCTAAAAATAACTTGTTTAAATTTCCAAAAGCCTTGGAGTTTATTTTTTCCAAAGGCCTGGTACGCAGTAACTCTCCTTGCACTCACCATTGTAGGAGGTTTTGTATACTGGGCTGTCCATTTTTGAACTAATGTTTATCCGCATGAGGGCTAAATCTTGGTGCCTCTCCTTCACTAATAGCCACTGCGAACGCGTTTTTGGGGAAAATGGTCATGTCTGATTGAAACAACTGAAAGGGATGTGTTGAAGTGGCCACAGACAGGTCCTTATCCTTCTACATGCCAAGCTACCACAAGGGTCCACAACTGTAATCAGATTCAGATTGGTTTTTACCGAGTACTTAAGCATATATTTTAATGCATTAGCTAAGATGTGACTCAGTATAGATTTGTGTTCAAATTAATGCAAAATACACACACCCACACACACACACTGCTTCCGACTTGCTTCAGTCAACATACACTTTGCCAAAGGAATAGGTGGCCACTTCTAGGGGTAATTGGAAGACAGAAATCACACTTATTTTTTAATGTAAAACACGTCCACAACCTAAAAATCACAAAATAGAAAGACAACAACCAGTAAAATACATAAAGAGTTTATAAGCTAAATGTAAGATCTTAAACTGCATTTGGTAGGTAGTAATGAAACATAAGAATAAAATGATTAAGGGTGTTCATGGGTCGAGTTAACTCATAAGATCTGTTATCCAGTCCAAAAAAATAGACCTTATTATTGGTCTGTCCGAATCCGAGTCTAATATTCTTCAAGAAAGGGCTTGGCGACTAGAAAGAATTGGAGGAGAAATTTTGTTTTGTATATGGTAATCCTTCTAATATCTGAATTGGATTTGAAACTTCGTATTTGTGAAAAAAAAAAAGGGCGAATTATCTAATATAGTTCCTTCATCCATTGTTTGATACTTCAAGGAGTTTGGGCTTTCTCCAAGCCCCATCAATAAAAACTGTTAAAACTCGGCCCAAGAACCAGCCCGCTTGTCTATCGGTCCACCCACTTTGTTTAAAGACTATTGAAAGTTAGGTGGCGTATTTCTCTTAAAAAAAATTATTTACTTAAATACTAAATAATTCAATCTCATCCTTAAGAAATTCCTAATCCCATCAATATTGGATTTGTCATTCGTTAATATTTGGTGATATTTCTCATCTCAACTACTATCACTTATCACCACCACCCCCACCACCGGGGAGGGGGGGGGTTGGGGTTGAATGCGAGGTCAAGGTCAAGGTCTGGATCTAGTTATGGGGTCAAGTCTAGGTTGGGGATCTAAGAATTTTTCAAATATTTATTTAGCTTAATATTTGAACAAATTTTCAATTATATTACAACGCTTAATTTTAGTTTTTGTCAAACATTGAATTATAATATACATTTCATTTTATTCCTACCTTGATTTCATTCTTTTGTAAAAGAATTAATGCATACCAAATGGAGCATTAGTCTATGGTACTTAAATCAAATTCACAAAAAATTATCGAAATAATAAACTAAGATCCAAACTATTAAAATACAGAGGGAACTTAAATACAAAATTTCTAGACTAAAGTACAAATTTCTAAGTTTGTCCAATAACTTAAAACAGTAGAATTTTCCCGCAGAATGGCTTAGATCATAGCAAAACTTGACTATTGATCTTTGAATCAATCTGATTGAATGAGAGATTCAATACTTGAGCATACCCCTAAGGGTGAGTAACCTTGTTCTTTTATGAGACATGTTCTAAATCTGCTCGAGCTACGGTAACAAATATTTGAATTCGATAGAAGTAGTCGACGTAAACCTAAACACTATCGTTCACTTGCTTTCTTATTATTCCACCATTTTATGTTCGGCTTTGTACGCGCAACAGTCTTCTTGGACTAGAAAATCTCCTACAACTACCTTATAGTAAACATAGTTGATTGAAACATATATAAAATCCACATAAGGAATGCCAATAAAGATGAAAAGAGGTAATAAAAAATGTGTAAATATGTAGTGATCAAATGGGGTGAAGCTTTCATGAATTTCTGGCACGATGTTCCTTTCTTTTTTGAGCGAACACCTTACTGTGTCTCATCATCCAGTATCTCTCTATTTCTTCTGCTTTTCGTCCAGGAACCCGCCCTGCTATCAATTCCCACCTGAGGAATGTAAGATATTAGACTTCCACTTCATGGCATTTAAAACAATATTGGCAAAGGGTTCAAGAACCTCTTGATTTCTTCTACCATTTATTGTCGTGGAGGATTAATTTCATTATATTTTACAAATATGGTTGATAGATTTTAGTAACATTTGANTTCTAAATCTGCTCGAGCTACGGTAACAAATATTTGAATTCGATAGAAGTAGTCGACGTAAACCTAAACACTATCGTTCACTTGCTTTCTTATTATTCCACCATTTTATGTTCGGCTTTGTACGCGCAACAGTCTTCTTGGACTAGAAAATCTCCTACAACTACCTTATAGTAAACATAGTTGATTGAAACATATATAAAATCCACATAAGGAATGCCAATAAAGATGAAAAGAGGTAATAAAAAATGTGTAAATATGTAGTGATCAAATGGGGTGAAGCTTTCATGAATTTCTGGCACGATGTTCCTTTCTTTTTTGAGCGAACACCTTACTGTGTCTCATCATCCAGTATCTCTCTATTTCTTCTGCTTTTCGTCCAGGAACCCGCCCTGCTATCAATTCCCACCTGAGGAATGTAAGATATTAGACTTCCACTTCATGGCATTTAAAACAATATTGGCAAAGGGTTCAAGAACCTCTTGATTTCTTCTATCATTTATTGTCGTGGAGGATTAATTTCATTATATTTTACAAATATGGTTGATAGATTTTAGTAACATTTGGTGCGACGGAATAGATCTAATGGTAGATAGAAAGTGAGAAGATTCAAATCCAGCTCAAGTGTTCATGATTGTGACAATCCTCCTAGTTATTACAGCAGTACCAGAAGTAGTGGCCGGCTGGTTCGGTCCAAGTTCAAATGGGGTATAAAACAAATCAAGTGTCTCTATGTAATTTTATCCATTTCATCGTACTCGTGTCTCCTCTGTATCCATGAAACAGAAAACTATTTCACATCAAAAAACCAAACAAAACCAATGGGAGTTTGTGTAGAAAAATTGGACCACAAAAGACTGATTTTGAGCTCAAGTTTGAACAATATATGTAGGTCTAGGTTTTATCTGTGGTATCACAGACAATTTGAAACTCCATTGACGCTGACATAGGCTGCACTTAAACATTGAAATGTTCTGTATAAATGAACATAGAAAATGAATTCTTCTATAGAAAATACAAGGAGAACCTAATTAGATTTCCAAAGCATAATTAAAATCTCAAGATTATTTACTCAAATGTTCAATTTCCGACGTGGAATTGTTATGCCTTTCTTCTATGTGGGCATCTGTCTTCCAACATATATATATATCATAGGCCAATGGCTCTTAATAAACCTTGATAAAATGATTCAAAATGGCCAGAATATAAATTTTCTGATCAATTGGCTTACCTGTCTCCAACTAGTCTGTACATTCTGTTGACAAGATCTTCTTCTTGTGCAGTCATTTTTATGAACTCCCACTCAATACTACTCACCTCTGCACAGATCAATCGAAAGGGGACAAAGAACAAATACCCATCAGAAATAATGATGCAACTCTTCATTTGAACTTGTAAAGCCAAGAAAGAACGTAAAAACTGCTACAGAAGATATGCAATCAATTAGAACTGAAACTAACCTTCTGAATTGGAACTAGAGGCCATGTTGGCTTGTTTCTGGGAACGTTTATCCATAGATTCTGTTCATACAATCTATGTTCACACATGTGTGAGAGAGAGAGAGAGAGTGAGAGAGGAAATAGAAGGAATGGCTGGGATCAGTTTTGTATATGTGAAGAAAGTAGCACAGCTTGCAAGAATAAATGGAATGGCGGGTGGTAACAACCAGGCATGTATGAAGTCTTGACTTGTAGTTGTCGTCAAACGCATGATTTCTTCTCTTGGAAGAAGATTAGATTAGATGCTCCTAGCAATGTGAAAATAAATTTTTTTTGTAAATTCACTCTCAGTTCTTTTTCTCACTCTCATCTTGTCTTTCTTGGTACATTTATGTATATATAGATCAGAGGCTATGATGTAGCAGCACAAGAGTTTCTAAGCACATGCACATTTGTTTAATTATGGGCATTATAGGTTCATATAGTCTTTGAGATATAATAAGCAACATTTAATGATCGAGAAGATAAGATATCTCAACTCCTCCAACAAACTATGGCCTGGAATTCCATGAATAAATTAATGAATTTTTTCTTTTTTGGGGAACTTTTGGGGATTGTTCAATATTTGAAGATAAGATCGATCTAAAACCCCACTCCTAAATAGCATGAACCAATGGCCCACAGGCAACTCGGAGTGATGTCGCTTTGTCAACAGCAGATTTATACCCATCTACTGCAACTAGATTCAAAAGCCAAATAATTCAAGCATACAAATAAATCAAGAGGTAGTTCTGTCACACTCCCACACCGGATTACATAGGGTGGTGGCGAACCGATCACTAAATCTTTAACTAACTAACCTTGTGCATAATAAATACAAAATACAATAGAAGACAAATAATAAAATGATCTTTCACCGATATAATGAATTCCAGAGAAATAACTAAATACTACGAATATCATTACTAAACTCACGTAAAACAATAATAATCAAACCGTAAGGTTCATTATCCCACACATAAGTAACATTGTTTCCAAATTAATTAAATATTTGTCTCAAAATTACAAAAAAATATTTATTTTTGAACACCTATAATAAAATAAATATGCAAATCCTTTAATCACTTGTCTATTTGCAGACTTACTTTTCATCATGATTCTCACCTAAAAAATGTTAAATGTTTGTATGAGCACAACGGCCCGTGAATAGCAACCACCTCTAATGAGATGTGAAAATAAATCTCACAGTTTATATACGCAAATAAATTTTGATACACACATAAGTACAACAAGTACTTATAAATGAAAAGATATTTATAACCCAAAACACCACTCATTTTCACAAATAACTTTATAAATGAAAGGACTTTTATAATCTAAAACACTTACACACACACATTCAATTCCAAATACATTTGTCAAATCATATTTGTTACCACTATCCTGGTAATTGGCTCAGTCTTTTGTTACTACTAGCCTGATAACTGGCTCAATCTCTTGTTTTTTTTCAAACCTGATAACTCATTTCCCGTCTCAAAAACATGATTTTTATACACACCAAAACTATAGTTTTACTCCCAACGCACACAAAATTTCTCTTTCATCTCCAAAGCAATGATATAAAATCATACTATAAGTTTTCCAACATTCATAGGTATAAAAGTTCACATTTGCATAACAGTTAATTGCAATCCCAAATATTAACACATATATCATATATATGAAAAATTCACACACATACACACACACATTTAATATAGAAAATCCTCTCATAAGAAATAGTAACTACTCACATTGATTCCCAAAATCTAATTCAAAGCACTTTTTTTCAACTTCAATACAATCATTACCTAATTTAAAATAATATATAACAATCAATCAATGTCTATTACTAATTTCTTCATTTTGCGTTTTTATATTTAATTTTTATACTTCCTATTCATTGATATATACTTAATCTTTTATATATAAATATCTTTTCTAATATGAGTTAATAGAGTATAGAAGTAGTTTGGGCTGTTCAGAAAAAGTTTCTAAAGTTTTAAAGTTAAATCATAATTTTTGAAACTTTTGGGGCAAAGTGTAATTTCCTTGAAAAATGAATTTTTTGTTTTCAGGTCTGCCATAAATTTTCCAAAACAGTATTTAAGGTTCTAGAGACTAATTTTTGGATAATATAACCTTACTTTGAGTTATTATGAATAAACCATAATTTTGGGAATAAAATCAAAATTTTTTGAAGTCATTTTATAATTTTGAATATTTTCCAAGGCTCGAGGGCTTTTGGAAATAATAAATCATGTTTGAAAACTATTAGGGTCATCTTTGAAAATTATCAAGTGACAGAGTGTCCAAAATTAAATTTATAAAAATATAGGGAGTCATAATGATATCTCTTATAACTAATGGGGTATTTCTATAATTTTTTTACTTTTCTCACCTTCGGATTCTTCCTACGGAAGAATCTGGAACTTTCCTCTCCCCTCTTTTTTTTTTTTTTGGTTATTCTTTTTCCTTGACATATTGATCAAATTCTACCAACTTAATTTCGGCAAACTACTTTAAAATTAACATCTATAATGAAACTCATTTATCTAATTATTAATATTCTTCATCATGAACATACATACACACACATATATATACTAGTAATTACCCGTACCTGAAGGCACTGCATTTCTCATAAAAAATGAACACAAAATTCTACAATAATATAATGCAATGGACAAAATTTGGAAAGCAATTGTCCTTACAACTGACAATTGCTCAAGTGTCGAAACCCACGAACAAAAGTTAACCTACCCTAAAAATTCCAACATCATCAAAATATTACCACATTATGATTTACCAAACAAAAAGACAAATTAAACTATACTTTTAAAGCAAACAGTGCTCAATGCATCACCAAAAAATTATACTAAATATTAGAATAAATGAAGCAAGAATGTAGAGAGAGCAAAAGAAAATCATATGAGGGCAAAGTGTAAAAAAGACTCCAAGTTCAATTTTGTCTCTTAGATACCCCCTATTCAAACATGGTGATCATATTAACTTTTGTTCCACCCAATTCAAACATTCAATAATACTCAGTTCCATTCAAAAAGAGACAAATTTATTTTCAACATTAATAAACACTATACTAAGTTTTATAATAAATTTATTTTCTACATTATAATAAATTTATTTTCAACATTATACTAAGTTTCCATTCAACATTATAATAAACATTCAAGAATAGTAAGGCTACTAAGTATCATTAACTCTCTATTGCAAACTCTTAAACAATAACATACCAAACATTATAATTAACACTCTATTGCAAACTCTCAACCAATATGCTATATGTATCATATTGGCTTTAAATTAACATTGAACAAGAGCTACATTTTACTTACCTTCATTTCAGCCACATCCACATCCATCTTGAGGAAAATTACATCAGGCATAGTGTAAGCAAACTCAGCTAAAATTGGAGACATGGAGTAGCACGGTCAATACCATGAAGCTGTAAAATCCACGAACACATGTAAGAAAGATAACATAAATACAATAGACATTTAAGACAAATGAATAATTGATATGCAACCAATAGTTGGCTATAGGACAAAGAAACTCACATGACGTATCTAACCAAAATGAAACTATGTCCAATTAGGTTACTAATTTCCACCCTATTCAAACATTAAAGAATTCAACTCATTCCAGAAAAGAAAATTATAGAGATAGTCATTTAGGGAAACTTTTTTTCTTTGATGCAAAACAACAAACACTTTGTGATTATATACAAAACCCAGCCATCTTAACTCACCCTCAGCGTCAAACAACATAAAATTGAACAAACTTGAAACACCAAGTCCAAGCAAAAGAAAAAAACTGTAACACATGACAACAAATAATAATAACACATAATATGAAAATAGAAATTGATAACTAATGCTAATAGCAAATAACATGTCTCAATTTGAACAGTGAATTGTGCTCAATACCAAATAATTAATAACTAATGTCAATACTAACCTGATGGAATTAGTGCTCAATAGCAAGCTATTTGAGGACCATCACATCCATCCCCTAGCATCCAAAGGAGATCAACTACAGGGGGTGGGGAATTATAATTGAACACAGAGGGCAATGACAATCCAATCAATTTTTCAAAAGTGAAATTCAATTACTTACCAGGAAAAAAAAAGACATTACTGGTGTGAAGGTTCAATACAATATAATATAGAAATTGTCAGGACAAATTGTATAATTGTTAACATCAAATTGGGGGAAAAAAAAAAGAAAATCGAAGAAGCTTGAAATTATAACAATCCAAGAAGCTTGAATTGATAACTAATGCTAATAGCAAATAACATGTCTCAATTCGTCGAGGACCTCACGTTTTTTGGCGATGTCGACAGTGGGATTTGAGAAGAAGTAGACGACTTTAGGGTCGGAGAAGAATTTCTCCACCTTTTCGATGTCGACTGAGGTGGCTTCTAGGGTTCCATTGAAATTCACCACCTTAGCAAGGGCGTTGGCGTAGCTTCCTGCGGTAGAGTCGGCCATTCTGGCACTGTGACGGCAGGCTCTTCCGGCTGACCTTGACAGTGATTTTTGGGAGTTTGATTGACTTGAAACCTCCAGAAAATGAGAGGTTTGTTGTTCTTTTGGCTATAATTTGGGTTGATGGTGGTGATCAGGATTGAAATGTGATCAGAGTTTGTTGTAAAGCAACCATTGTTGCAATCGGAGGGAGAGAGAGAGAGAAAGAAAAGAAGAGACATCACTCAGAGAGGAGATTGAGGGAGGGAGAGAGAGATATCATATGAGTGTGAGAGAGAGAGAGGGGTTCATGAGCAACAGGAGTCTAGAGTTGTAATAAGATGAAATTAGGGGAGAGATGAGGCGCGAGAGATTGGGAGAGGGAGAGAAAAAAAAAAGAGATTGAGAGAGAGAGATGTGAGTCAGCAAATATTGTTGGACAAAAAAATAAAATTTTGTACTCACTGTAGACCGTTAGATCAAAATTTTTGAAATGATCTGAACCGTTTTTTATGTTGGGATTACATTGTTCGTTGGATGTATTTATGTTTTATCTCAAAATGATTTGGATCACTCTTTGTATTTTGAATTCAAACTTCGTTCTATTTTATTATATATAGACACTACTTATGATAAACTATGTGATTGAATAAAATTCAAAACTTATAAATTAAGTAATAAATTTATACCTTTAATGGATTTAAGCCCTTTATTTCTTTCCTCCTCCTTCCTTCTCTCTCTTATTTTTTTTTTTACTGGGGTAGATGTCTTCACAAGCCTTCTCACTAAAAGACCATATCAAACCTAAATATATCTATACATATATATATATGAAGAGTTTGACCTATCCAACAATACTAACATATTTAAAATACATGTAAAACAAACCTAAACTTTTATTAGAAACACATTAGTCTTCTTTTATTTACTTTTTGTCCTTTTTTTTTATAACCAATACACCAAAATAAAATGTTTTTTTTTTGGGTAATTACAAGTTCAAATGTTAATAAGGATGGATTATAAATTTGGACATTCTAAGTTTAAATCTTGACAATTTTTTAGAGTAAAATCATGAGAGATTTATCTCTTATGAAAACTCTTAGCATGGATGAGTTGTCTTTGACTGAACCGGGGAAAGAATTAGTTTAGGTGCGCGTAAATTAATTTGAACACCCTCCAGTTTCAGCGTAGATGAGCTATCTTTGATCGGACCGGGAAGAAAATTAGTTGAGATGCATGTAAACTGACTTAAACACACTCTAGTTCTGGCATGAATGAACTGTCTTTGACCGGACTGAAGAGAGAATTAATTGAGGTGTGTATAAACTGGCATGAACACCATTGACTATTGAAAAAAACAACTCTAGAACAAATTGTGTCACACATGACAAGTCCTGCATAACAAAAGCCATGGGTTTTCCTTGGTGTATTATGCTGCTCGATAGCATACTTTGATTTGACTCCTTGAAACTAACACACCTTGACTCGAGCTTGTATACCAACCTTAGTTTCTTGCTCAAGAGCGGCACTGCCAAAAGTTTGTGAGCCTTCGAACCGAACACGTCTAAAGGAAAATTTTCAAAGAATTAAAATCCAGAACCTTAAAAATTAATTCTAGAATAATCATTTTCTCAATGTCATAGTAACCAAAATTAATTATTTATATTTCAACATTTCATTTCACGTGCAAACTAGATTTTGGTTTTAGCACATAAATTTTTTTTAATAATTGGTGGCAAAATTCGAACATAGCACCTCTTGCTTTGAAACTATGTTAAACAAACATTTGAATCAAGCTGTTTTTTTTTTTTTGAGCTAATTGATTGTAAATTCATTTAAGTAGAGAAATGTTGATTACAATTTGACGAGAATACAACCTTAAACGCTACAGGGAGGACAACTGACCCAATTCATAGCAAGAGAATTGGATAATGTCATTTCTACCACCCAATAAACGGCCCTATTAAGGGCTCTTGGCTTGTATAAAAATCTAAGATCTAGATGTCTAGCAAAAGCTCTAAGATCTTCCACAAACGCGCTTATCTCCCAAGGAGAAACCCCTTCAGTTGAACTGAGCTTGATTACTTCTTGGCTATTGATAATGTTAGGATTTTAGAGTAGGCTGTCTTTCCTAAACCCAAATCATCTAATGGGCCAAAAAGGGTGCACAATGGCCCAAGAGACCCCTCAACAACTCATCTGCTCCGTAATAAGGAATGAGCTATAATCCAAATGAAGGAGCTCAATAGAGAGTCCAGCTCGGCACAACCCTGCTCAGTCATAACAAGTCCAACATTAAGCAACTCGGGATCAAGTAGCTCGATATTCACCAAACCCCGAATATCCCACTTCGCGCCACGTGTCTAGGGACTAAGGGACAATTTCTAGAGCCTCTAACGAATGTATACTCTCTGGTAAGCGGAATATTTGTATATGTAACCACTCAAAAATCGTGGATACAGTGGCGTTGTATGGAAGATGTTACTAAAGGACAAAGGAAGAGGAGACCACATAATTAGCAAAAAAGGAAGAGGATTCTACAAGAAACCCTAGAAAGATTACCTATATAAATAGAACACTATCACACTACAAAAGAGGACCGACAACTTCTATATTAATATACTTGTATTCATAAAACCTTGCATGAACAGGCTTTAAGCCCAACAACCCGTTGTAATCTTCTTCCACAAGCAATATGCACACCCCGAAAGAGCAAGAGACTCCATTACAGTGGACATAGTTTTAGTCTCTCGGCTAAAGTGAACCACTTATATATTGTTTCTGATTCATTCGCACAACTTAATCTACTATCAATTCATATATTCACATTACCCCCTCTTTGGACTATCAAATCATCATTATGGACTTGGGATAAGCATTTCCGAGCATTATCAGTTATCACTCTCAATCTTACTGTGTCAAAGTTGTGATACATTTGCAAGTAAGCTGGCTTCTCTAACTGCTGCAGCCTCTGCATAAAGGCTTGAAATTGCTGGGATTCTTTTTCCAATTCCATCCAGAAAACTTTTATTTGTGTCCCTCAGAACAATGCCTATAGCAACACTATTGTCTTTGTAAGCCCCATCGCAACTAATTTTGAAACCTTGGTGCCTCTAAATGGAAGAAGATTTTGACCTGTTTGGGGTAGTAAAACTTACACCTTTTTGCTCATTTTAAGGTTGAAGATACTTTAAATATTTATATTTTAACACATTTAGTCACCAAATTAAGAACATATTTAACAAAATGGTTCACATTTTTCTATGAAGCTAGTGCTACACATACAAGAAGCCCTTTTCAACTATTGGGCATATTTTCAAATTTAGAACCTTTTAATATGCAAAAATAGCAAAATACATGAAACTCAACATAGGTATGTATCAGATTAAATAGAAAAAGTTAAATACGTATCAAAAACCATTATGATATATATGGTAGTGGGGAAGATGAGGAAGGAGGAGAAGATGAGTTATCGGTTGTTTTGTGTACATTATCTATGTCTTCTTCTCTAACCTTACCGCTTAAGGGGAAGTTGACCACTTGACCCCACTCACCTTTTACCAACCACATGTATATTGTGTAAAACATCATAACTTTTTTTTAAATTAGGTATTGCCCACTTAATTTTTTAAAAGTTAGTCGTTTTTCGGTAAGTTAGTAGTTCATTATTGTTGCCCTAACTAATCAAAAAAATATTTTATTCTTAGATTTTGTGGAATAAATGTAAAACAATACACTGTTTTAATTTGTCAAAATAATCATATAGGTGTCTCTAATTCTTTTTTTTTTTTTTTGGTGTAGTATATTATTGGTTTGTAAGTAAGTAAAACATGAATGGATACAAATTATACAATTTTTTAACCTAATCGAATGTGTTTTTTTTTTCAAAGAATAAATTTCTCAACAAAATAAAAGATGATTTTAATTAGGCTTTGTAAAAAAGTTAGTGATAACTTTGTGACGAACTCTTTTATAGAAATTATTGAGAAACTTAACATAAAATCAATTATAGACCATTATTGAGATTTGAATAAACTTTCTAGTTTCCTTTGATATACTGTTGATATAAATTTTATTTACCAAATTATACTATATTTCTTATGGTTAAATTTACAAATTTTGTGTGTATGTTAATTATTTTATTTTTGTTTTGCCCTCGCTAGAAGATCTTGGTTATGTCCCGGCTTCTCTTCTTCTCAAGCTTCGTTCTATGTTTGTACACATTTGCTTTGAAGAATGTGAAGAGAACGTTTTGAATCAACTAATAAAACCTTGAAGATGTTCTTAATCCAGCTCTATTAAAAACCCTAATTTGTTCAGCGGACCAAATCGATTTTTGCACCAAACGATGGAGAAAAGTGGAAACCAATACTAAATTTAACACATTTGCTTGCGATGGTAAACACCATCTCTGGGACGTGGTTCGAACCAGGCCTAAAATAGGCCGGGCCCTGCCTGCCTGCCTAATTGGAATTGGCCCATTGTGGTTCACGAACCCTATCCACAATTTTACTTTCTTGGGCCAATACCTTCCTATGTTATTTGGCTTATGATCCTAAACTCAAGCTATTAAATTTTGTGAGAATTGAGGATGAGTCCCTTAAATAGACTTATAATGACTTGAGTTTTGAAAGAAAATTTATTTGAAGGTAAGTACATGTTTAAACTTATATGTAAGTACTTAAGTCTACTTATTTTTTAAATCTCAAAATTACCCCTAACAGTGCTAGTTTTATTCAGTTATGAAAATTCATATAAATTAGATCATTGAGATATATATGAAAACCATTTATTAAATATTATGATAATTGACGGAAGTTTTATATGAAAATTATATATTCTAATAGTTATATATGGGAAGCTTAGTGTACAAATAAATTGTTGGTCTATTAAGTCAAAATCATATCACAAAATTTCTTTAACAACAGTAATGCATAATACAGGGAGACTAAACAATGTCAACAGAGTTCAGTAACACAAATGTTAATATATAGTAACATTTATGTTTACAATATAATTGAAGT